TCCTACGGCATGATTGAGTGACCAGAGGAACAAAAATGCATGCGACTCACGATTTGATGCGAAGAACGTTGTCGTGGATACAGTTGTGTGCTAGCACGAGTCATGAAGTATAAATTTAAATACGAGTTATCGAATCCCACAGAAGAAATGAAAGCTGAAAAAAATTTGTAAAAAAGCATGAAACATTATGATTTGTTTTTAAAGATTAATTATTTCAAAAATTTGATATAATATGAATTCTATGAAATAAAAAATTCTAACAGTAATATTCAATTCAAGAATAAAGAATTTAAACTTACAAATATTTATTAAGATTCTATTTTTTAATTAAAACTCAATGTACGAAGAGCAAAAGTAAAAGAAATAGAAAATACAAAATTACTTACATTCAAAACACTAAATCCTTGCTAGGAAACACGGAACGAAGAGGAGGATGTGGGAAACCTTTAACAAAATATGAATTATTATAATTTATTCTGAAAAATACAATGATAATTGTTCAACAAATTTGAAGATACAAAGATTATAAAAATGAAATTTTAATTCTAATAAATTTCAATTACTATAAGAATCGGAACTCTAATGTAAAAATGTAGATCTGATTTATTTCTTAATTAGCAATAGTTACAATACAAGGAATAAAATTAATTAAAATACAATATACATAGATTCTTACATGCTTAATTTCAAAGCACTGCTACATCCTCCTCAGAAAACAAGAAAAAACAAATTGTGAAAGATCTGAAACAAAACATGTGAAATAGTAAACTTGTTCTTGAAAACGTACAGTCAAATATTTAAAAAGTTTGAAATAATGAAAAATAAAATTCCATTCAAAAATTTTTACAATAATAAGATATTTAGATATCTTAGTCATTCAAATATGTGCACTTCGTACTAATCAAATATGGCGCGCTTTTATTGTCAGTTAACCGAAGCTGCGCAGTACGGAAAAGACGCGATGCGCAGAACCCGTTCAAATTTATTCGTTATTGTTAATAATATATACTAATTGACAATCAAATAAATGTTACTAATTATTCAATAGGAAGAGTAAATAAACGTACAAGTACATTTGCCTTTATTAGAATAAATTAGATATTACTATACCTGCATAAAGATCGGTCAGATTTATCAGCGTGGCGTCGATTTGAATTTCGCTTGAATTTCTACTCATGTTTAAGAGCTTTCCTCGCAATCAGTTTACACGATTACTTTGTAATCTGTACAAAAAAGAAACTAGAACATTCAAATTATTATGTAAAAAGAACAATGGACAAGATCAAATATCATTTGGAAAGCTCATATTACGATGCAAGATAATGCAAAGAAAAAAGATTTAGCTATAATTTTGTTATAATATTGTATTATAGAGTAAAAACATACGTTAATTAAACGAAGTTTACCGCAGAGTAGATATAAATGGTAAAAGAATAACGATGAAAGCACTTCGCAGTTAATAAATGTCACGACACAGAGAGATACATCTTGACTCACCGATTTTTGACAATGAACTAACCCTCGCGAAATAGGAGTGGGGGGAGGGGGTATTCGCGGCGGTAATTTGTGGGGGGGGGGGGAGGCCGACCGAATGTTTTCAATAATGAACATGTTACATTCTGTATACACTTATGTATACACTTATGTATAAATTTAATTTGGTCGAATAAAGTTTATTGAATTGATGAATACACATGATTCTTTAGAATATTTATTAAAATCATAACTTAGTATATATTTAGTTTAATTATTCACACAAATTATTATAATTTCTCACTTGCAAGACGTTAATATACGATATAATTAATTAATTATATTGTCTTGGAGCATAAATTCTGCAATAATTATACTAATTGTTTAACTACTTTCAAGTCATGTGAAAATATATGGAAATAAGTACGTACCAACAAGGAACTAAATATGTAACAATTAATTTTTCTGACAAATCGCTGACATACTCGAGGTAGCAAACAAGTCTATAAACTATTAGTTGTAAATTTTACCTGACAATTTCTGGACAATGCTTTTTGCTGTGCTTCCCACTAAAAAGTGACACTTATTATAGTATCATAGATCGATCGTGAGAAATATCGATTACGTTCCAGAATCGTAATAAGTGTATTTCAGATTTCACCGTTTCATTGGCGCTGTAATCTCTATTTAAAATCACAAATGCGCGCGCATTACGAAAACAAAGATATATTGTCTAACTTGAAACGAAAAATCTTTTTCATGTATTAAAAAAAGACAAATAATTTAGCAAAGTATAAACTTTGGTCAATAAGTAAATTTTTGGTAAATTAAAGTGATATGTTCAAATATTTTCACGAATCATGTGACATACATGACCAAAGAACAATTTTTATTTGATAATGCATATTGAAATAATGTTTTTTCATATCTAAATAATTTTATTATTACTCAAAATAATTTTCATTATATTTAATGAAATTTTTCTGTTATAATTTTCTGTTATATGTTCATTATAGCATACAGAAGACGTAAGACACAAAATTCCATGTAATGTTTTTATTCATTAGTGGTATGAAAGTACTCACCTACCAATTGCGGCATCCTCTTTCCACGCTGGTAACTTATACAACCACTCTTAATTTATTTCTAATAAAAAAACTCCGACTAATCCAATGATCGTATTACCTTCCTAATCTATAATGTATGAAAAAATTTTGTTATAAAAAATTCTTATCTAACCTAGCAATAGTTCAAATTTTAAAGTCAAGATTTGAAATGTCTATGATCTCAAGTATCTATAAAAAATATTCAAATTTCTACATAATGAAAATATATTAAATCAAACTATGTAGCTATTATAGAAAATTATGTTAGTGTTAACAAGTCAAAAACTAATTATAGTTAACACAATTATGCTATAGAATTTTGAAAGACAATATGGAAGTTTGTCGGTAGAGTAGAGATAGATTGCACATTTATGCAACGAAATACTGAACACTAGATGGCGGGAAGTATTCCTATGGGGGTATCAGTACAGGTAAGCAACGGCGGGAACTGGTGAAAGAGCGAGAGAGGCGCTTATCAAATTAGCGGTTGAAAGAAAGATAGACTGGGTGAGGGGCTACAGAACACTATACAAGTACCTTCGTTTGAGTAGTACACTGCTGGACGCCATACTCAGCATGTGTGATTGTCTTACTGTAGTCAAACATGCAGAATTCATGATACTTATATTTATTGTTATCTAAAGTGATTCTCCTAGAGCAAGTGCCAAAAAGTCTTGCCTTCAGCAGGAATGTTTTGCCATCGGTAAGGAAACTTCCTAAAGGGATAGAGGAACAGAATGACGTCCGAGCGTTTTCACAAGTGAGTTTCCTTTTATATAAGCAGCAGACTTTGTGCATACCTTTCTGTTTTCTTATTCTTGTTTTCTCTACCAATGGTACGCTTTTATATACTATAACAAGATATCTATCTAAAATCCAGGAAGCAGAGAAATGTCAGAGAAATGTGGAGCCAGGTTCTTGTTTCTGGCTAGAGTGAAAAAATGACATGCCTGGTTAACCATGAGAACGAAGTATTGCACTTTGAAATCTTGATCAGCAACCAGAATTCGATAGGAGATCAGCCAGAGAAATTGGTTGTTTCATAATTACTGCAACATTATACTATGAAATTTTTCTATTTTTAATTTGCCATTTCATATATAGATTTAGGTATTTCTCTTTTTCCCGACGATTATAATAAAATTAATTTAAAAAGAATAATTTAATTATTCACTTTTTAAAAATTTTATATTAATATAAATAGATCAATGTAGTTAGAACATCAATAATGCATGAATATTACTTACTTTATTATATATATTATATAATGAAATTTTGTAAAAAAGCTGCATATATTACTTCAATCATTATATACATATAATATATGTATATGTGTAATATTATTGAATGATAGAATTAAAAAATTGTGAAGTACCTTATTTAGAATTGTACAGCTATGTACTCTCTCATTGGAATATGTACATACATCGCGCGCGTGCGGAATTCATGCATAAGAACACCTTTGCTTTTATTTGATTCAGCAGAAAGATTTATCATTCAACCCACTTCTAGCGTCCACCAGGTGTACATGGCACTTTTCAATATCATCTTTCACTGAAAAAAATATCAATTTAATTAAAAGGAGCAATAATTCAATCTTCGAATAGAAATACTTAATAAATTAAATTGTTATTTTTAAAATTAATTTAAAATACGGAATACAGAAAATATATATACTCTTAATTTTATTCTATCGTATGTATGTAAGATTACGACGATTAATGACGAAATTCAAATTATATTTCAATCATAAATTATAAGATAAAAATGTATAATAATAAATTAATAAACCGTAGACGATTATAAACTCCTAGCTTTTTTCATAATATTACTATTATATTCATAATAGCACATATATATTTTTATAAAATTTTATGCATAATAATCATAATTTCAAAAAAATAACAACTAAGAATCTTATTCAATTTAATGAAAGCGTTCCTTTCTTTCACAACACTTCTACTTTTAAATAAAATTAATATGTGTGAAGATATATTCATGGTTAATGATTTGTAACATAGAAAAAATTATCATGCGAGCAATTAATTAAAACTTCATACATACTTTCTCTAACATCTTTGCTCTCATTTTTCATCTTTTCATTCTTCTAGTTTGTAATCTACAAAATAAAATAGAATAACGTTAAATAATCAAACTATTATAAAATACATATAAAATTTATGCGACAAATCTCTTTGTTTATATATACGTAGGTATATAAAATCTTGTATGATAGCTCTTAATTAGGGAAAGACTAATTAAGAGAAGAAAACTCAAGTGAAAGAGAAAACGATGGCGTGCTATGTCACATTATCATGATAAAAAGTATGCAGTTTAATTCATAAGTAGAGCTAGGACATTATTAAGAAACAAGATAATTATACAGTAATGAAATATCCACTATTTGTAAATATACTTATAATGGAAAATATGCTTGAAGCAAAAGATACTACTGCTAATTATTTAAAGACTTAATAACCTCATAATGAAATACAATTACTTTGTAGTTTTAATTATATTATATATTTTAATTATTAATTCTCTTTTTCTAATTTATTAACATTATTTATTATAAAATAACTCGTAATCTTGGTTAGTAATATTTTTTACTAAAAAATTGGAATATAGCTTTATAATAAATATCTATCTGTTAAAAAATATATTAGTACAGTGTAATAACATTTTTTAGTAGTTGTTTGCGATCAATGATTATTTGAAAATAGTTGTTTTTTTCTATAGAGCTGCACGCGATGGCGCTTTAGAAATTTTAAAAGAAGCAACAAAAAAGGATTGTAACGCACGGGATGACGGAGGAATGACCCCTACATTATGGGCAGCCTTTGAAGGTCATATAGATACTCTGAGACTGCTCGTCGCCAGAGGGTATGCTCGCAAAACTATTTACTTATAAACACATTCGAGAAACGTCTATGCAAGTTTCTACAAAACTGTAGTCTCTTTACATGTTAAAATTAATTACTAGGTTATTGTTACTTACCACTGTATGTGCATATTTGTATTAAACCATGCTACTCGTAGCTACTCGTAGAAAATAGAATTCTTCAACAGAACCGATACAACATCGATGAAATCAATTCCTGGATGAAATATTTTTGGCGCGAAACAAATAATATTTCTCACTTCCGGTACATCTCCACATTTGCGCACTAAACAGAGATACTTCTAAAATCTAACTGTTCGGACATGCGTAGAACGTATATTTTTATATAATAGCAAATAGATATAATCTTTTTATATTTATATTTCTTTAATTTAGATATAATCGTTTATAAAGTAGCAAAAGATTTTACTTCGAAATTTTTTTAATGAATAAAAGGAATATAGGTTAGATAATTAATAATAAATATTTACGGCATATTTATATTCGTATAGTTTGAAACAAAAGACCCGATTAAGAAATTTCAAATTTAATTTTCATTTTATATGAAATTGAAAATGTCTATATATAGTTTAAAAGCAAACATGTATATTAAGTACGAGGTCGTTGTGGTCAGCGAACACGAAAATTTTAACAAACACCATATAAATGACGGGAAATTAAAAAAATTGCATTGGTTAGTTACTTTTAAAACATACCTAATACTAAATTTCCTTTTCTCTTTCGAGTATATGTATGTACAAGTGTGCATGAGAGTTTTGTGTTAAACGATGACAAATGCCAAAACCGGAAATACATACTATAATCTCGCATCTGTCGACCCCACGAACGGAAATTACGACCAAGCGAACACCGATGAAAAACAATCGAATCCGAGTGGAGGACAACGTAACGAACGGAATAAAACGTAGGGGAACGGAACGAAATGGAACAAAGGAACAAAGAATTATTATTCATGTAATCATTTAAAATCGTTGCCGAATGTTAACATTTTCTGGTTAAAATATTTACTTTTATAGATTTTTTGATAGGAGAGCTCTCGTTTATGTCAAAGAAAAATTCGATAATTCGATCATTAATGTTCGATCATGAACTATTCGAAATCGAATTCAATTCAAAATCAAAAATTACAATGTTGATCAATTATAATCTGCAAAAATGAATTTATATGATATAAAATTTTAAAATCTGCATTATAATTATATATGAATAATAAAATATAGAAATTATAACCTCAATAAAATATTCGAATTATACAAATTATATACACACACACACACACACACACACACACACACACACACGCACGTACACGCGCGCGCGCGCGCGCGCATAATAAACTTAATTATTTTCAAATACATTAAAAGAATAACCGTTAGATTGCTACAAAAGATACAAAATGTAATAAAATAACGACAATATTGTAACTAACATGATTATGCGCGGATAGTAGACGGTTTAATGTAGTGTATACGGCATTACTTAATAATACATTATGCATACAACGGTGAATACATTTAATAGGACGTCTTTCTTTCAAGTTTTCTATTCAATTCGATTTCACAAATGTTCCATTCCTCAAAATTTAATTTAGCCTGAAATCGTTGAAACCATTTTACAACCAGAATCGGATTCTTGTTCCACAGAATCAGCGATAATCCGTGAACAGCTGATATAAAAGCTGAAAGAACAGCACGTGCTCTATTGTGAATAAGATCATATGTCGTTCGACTGGCTTCAGTGTGGTCGACGAACGATAGAAATTCGATATAAGAGCTGCTATCCTTCCGGAACTTTGTTCCGCTCGTGTGTCATCACGTGACAGGATGTAATACTATAAAAACCCATTTATTCCCTCCATTCGTTTCCGAAGGTTGCCCCTTTAGGGCAAAAATATTTTTAACAATGATTGCAAGAATATCAGCTATTGTCAGACATTATTAAAATTTGTCAGAAGGAAAATAATAATAGGAATTATTTTATTTTAAGTATAGGAATTATTTTATGTTAACAGAAGTTTATTTTAAGTATGTCTACAGAAGTAATTCATTTGTTAAAAATCGCTAGAGCGAGGTAAATTGCGTAAAATTTTTATCTTCTCCGGAGTTCTGTTTTTCTTCATGGAGAGGTTCCGGAATAACTGCTAAAACGGTTGAAAGCAATTCACTTACCAGAAGGTTCTTCTGGCTCATTAAATCCTCGTTATTGTATTTACCTAAATATCTGCTGGGATTTCTCAATTTTATTAGGCACTCGGTTCGGTTCATAAATCACGGAGAAATAAGTGACGGCGAACTACCTGTCTTCGAACAATCTTGAAACCGCCTCATTTCTAACGCGCCTCAATTTAAAAAGTTATTGGAAATACGCTAACGAAAGCAATATTGAATTGAACACGCAACTTCCTACGAGCGAACATATGCTCAAATAATAACAGCAGTTGTGGAATAATTTATATTTTATTGATTTTCTCTACAGGGGTGATCCTGACAAAACCGATTACTTCGGTAATACGGCTCTTCACCTGGCAGCGGCAAGGGGTCATGAATATTGTGTGAAATTCCTCGTGAAATTTGGCTGCAATATTTGGTCATTGGACATCGACAGGCATTCAGCTAGAGATTTAGCCGCCATAAATGGTAGAGAAATGACTCTTCAATTTTTGGATCTTGCTCAAGCCGATCAGGAACTAAATAATCGTAAAAAGAGCCGTCTACTTCGGGAAAAAGCAGAGAAAGATGCAGAAAAAAGGTATTTAAATGTACAAAAGTCGTGTAATAAAAATATTTTATATCTCAACATCGATACAACTTCAATTTCAACTATATGAAAAACAGATTAAAAGAATATATGAAAAAGCAAAAGATGGCAGAAATCAGATCTGAAAAGGAACAAAAGAAGTTATCAAAGAATCGAACGAAATCGGACTTAACTACGGTTAATGAAACCTGCATTCTACCTCATAAACCCGCTATGTTGACCTTCAAAGGTCGAGTGAAACCTTCACCAACGTTCAGCGATATTGTTAACACGACCAACAAGAAGCACGGTAGTGCGGTATGCAGAAAAGCTTTAGCAAAAAAAGCCGTTGATGATTTTAAAGTAGTAGAGGTAAAAAAAAAAAAATATCTCATTAAAGAGAATTAACTCTTCATATTTCACTGTCTTTCTAATAAAATTACATGTTTTCATAGACCGAAATGAATGGAAAGAAGTCGATACGTAGCCTCACTGGTCTTAGAAGAGATTCGGAAGTAATGTATGTAGGGACTTATGAAACACAAACTCAACAAATAGGTAGGAGAGGAAAAATCTCCGATGTTTGGGGCACACTAAGCAAAGCACAAAGTACTCCTGATCTCTTGGGCGATCGATATTTCGATGAGGATACCGAGCAAGATGATAGAGAAGACATAAATGGTATAAGAGATAACGTTTTGTTGCAAGAACCGGCGAGTATTTTTAATCGACCTGGTTTTGGATCGGTAGCATTTCGAAGAGCGGTGAGTTTATGTATCAGATGTTCTTATATGATTAAAACAATTAAGTAGAATGTTTGTTAATTAATATACATATTGAAACGTAATATTTTGTTAAAATATTAATTAACTATTGAAAGGGTCATTTTAATTAACTAAATTATAGTTTCATAAACATAAAGAATTTTAATCGCAAAATGTTCCTAAACCATCCATAAAATATATCTTAACATGCTCTATTTTTGTGATTATTCTAACTTCACAACACTTATTAGTGTTATTATGACATGCATAGCTATAAAATTAAATGATTACACAGTCACCGTTCGCAATAATTGTATATTCCAGTCAATTTGAGATCATTGATTATTTTTCCAAAAGTAAGACAGAGACTTCAAATTAGTAATGTATCTAATAATGATGATAATAATTTATTAATGCTATTAAAATGTCTCAAATGATATTTATTTAAAGTAGTAAGACTGCTGTTTTCTAACTTTAGATAACAACTTTCGATAACCTACCAATTCCGCAAGTGGATGCACATGAACAAAATGGTAACTCTTCTGTAAACGGATCTATAAATGGTCATAGAGCCAACTCAAATGGGCACAATGAAGAAATCAGCATAGGAAGCGCCGGTAGCTTAGCTCGTCGGCAAAACATGTGGGATGATGATTTACTTTCAGGTAAAATCCTTTTCAGGTAAAATTCTCAAATTTTATTACACATATATTTTTAATGTATTATATGTCTGATAAACTTTTACTTTAAATTTAAATTTTATATATGTAATATTACATATAATTATAGAGGAGGAGACCGACGAGGAATGGACACCATTACAAAGATTTTTAGTTGCCAATAATCTCTCATCTGTACATCCAATTTTAGAATCAGAACAAATTGATCTAGAAGCTTTAATGTTACTAACTGAAGCTGATATCGCAGTACTTAAACTTCCACTCGGACCAAAAAGGAAATTAATGAATGCAATAGCTAACCGGAAAAAAGCATTAGATGCGCCAGAAAATATTATTAAAGATAGTAGATTGTGAAACTTGAACTATCATCGAAGAACATTAACCTTATTTTCAAATATTTTACTCTTGCCTAATAAACCTAAGTGCCTATTAAAAGATTATACAACTAATTTTTAATATAAAACTAAACAAAACAGTTGCACTTAAGTTTAACTATAGTTCATATGAAAATCCGCGCGATTATATAATTAAAATCATTTTACTTACATGGATTTGTAGATATTACAAGATTACATCAATTTTTTGATATAATTAAATCATAAAACGATGTATTGCCTCTTGCCATTTCTTTTAAGATTATTGAAAAATCTATTAATTTCCAGAAGAAATTACAAGCCATAAAAATATAAATATTTAAGTTAATGCACGAAGGACAAGTTGAAATATTATTTCTTTATATAACCTTGATCTTTTACTATGTATGGTGCCTTAAAACAATAATATAACATTACTAAGTTAATCAATGTAAATGAAAATGTAAATGCCAATGTAATGGAATATATCTTCACAGATTCCTTTAAATAGTAGGATAAATGAATTGAATGTTTTCTCATCAACCATACAAGTACAATAAATAAATTTTATACAAAATGTACAAATCGCATAAAAATAAAATATGTAAATATGATATGAATAAATGTTTAAAGCGTTTTATAAAATATTCTTATTTTATGAAAAATATATCAATAATTCGTATATAAATGGTCAACACAAAAAGTATAATATTTTTCTTTGTAATTTTATTTGTAAATAATTATCTTACAAATAAGAGACGCAAAAATATACAAGCTTCTTATATCCGCAAAAAATAACAGCACCATTTGTCGCCTCACCGTAAACACGCATTTTCGTGTTGTCTTACGGCTTTTCCGTGTTCGTGCAAATAGAATGTGATGGTACATTTGTTGACATAAAAGTATATCACGTTGCGATTAATGTGCATCAGAATAAAAAAAATGGCTCGTAGAAAATTTCTTGGTGCCCTGTGTTTGTGACACGTACGCATTTCTACGCACCTGTATGATTAGCGTACGAACTATTATTACTGTGAAAAAGATATGATACAGAAGTGATTCCTCGCGATCTCACCTATCAAGGCTGCACGATTAATCGATTAATGAATAATAAATATTGATGTTTAACTTGTCCAATTATTCTAGACAACTATCAATTTATTAATATAAAAACGAATTAATTTATTTTTACTATTAATCGATTAATTTCAGAGCCCTATAAGCTATGTCTTCTATTTCTATACACAACAGTCGGTTTTGCATAATGGCAATTTCATTGGAAATTTCTTTTTGGCAGCAAGTATGAATTACAAATTTCATTAAAGAAAGACGGAAGTCACCGATTCACAAAAAGATTACTTAGAACGTAAAATTTAATTTCTTTATAAACGATATGCTATTCACATTGTTTCTTATTCATTTACGATGTTAAAACATTTACTCAAAAATATGACCTTTTTTATAGTATTTTTATTTATAAATAATAAGAAATTTTAATAAAACCATTTATTTTCTTTTTAAACTGTGCACAATATGTTGCCTGGGCTGTACAAATAAAAAATAAAATATTGTTTCAGTATAAAATACAACACAGATTAATAACAAGATTACCTCCCTAGAGAAAGGGAAAGCTTCATATATATAACTCGGGGAAAAACTCAGTTTGTTTCTCAAAATTCATTTCACAAGTTAGTCTTGCATTATGCAAGATAGCAAAATGCCAATTATATCATGCAAACAATTAAATAAGTAACACGTTATTAAATTACATTACGGCCAAACAAAGTTCTTGAATATAAATGTCTCTCAGAAATGTCTCTTTGAATAAGAAAACAAGAATAAAAATGACAGTGCCTGTACAAAACTCGATGTTCCATCATTAACTATTATCTTCTTATTAATAAAATATTCCTAAATATGGCATCTTCAGCGTGTTACTTTCTTCTATATATATGTTTAATCAGAGTTATCTTTGTACGGAAATTTGTTAAGAAATTGGAGCGTACGAAAAACTTAAAAACATTTAAATAATACAACAACATTTGTACAAAGATACTCCTCGATATTGTATTGTATCATATATTTTGTTTGAGTGAAACTTTCAGAACTTTTAAAAACGTGACCCCGCGTAACCAAACTGGTCAGAAAAGTGGAGTCAAGTGGAGTCCTTCGAGTTTTATTAACTGCCGATCATATGATAAATATTATTAAAGCTATCGCATAGTTCTTGATATTAATAATGGTGATATTAGCAATACCCCTAAGGCTATTGTTTATTGTTATCATTATAAACGTACGCTATATTTACAACTCAACAACAATTTTTTCGCTTGCTTGCGGAACGGTGATCAAACAATGTCGAGGAGAAGGAAACAGACAGAAACGAGTTTTGCTTCTAAGTGATTTTTGAAGAACGAATGAAAGGAAATTCGAAACGCGAATAGGAAAAATGAATTTTTTCTTAAATAAATTTATCGGCAGTTCGAGTAAAATATCTTCGAATTTCCTATAATCTATGACCTTCAAAATTCAAATAGAAGCAATCGAGAGGCACAAGGCTAGAAATAATATACATTTACAATGACCTTAAGAACCGAGTAATAAATCATTCTATTGCAAGTCTTTGAACATAATCCTTATAGGATATGCACATATATATATATATACATATATATATATATACATAGGATGTGTCAACTAAATGAATCACCTAATATCTACATTTAGTTGAGACATCCTGTATACAATATACATGCATATGTGTTATATGCATATATAGCAAAGAGCTGCCCGTGTCTCCCCAACAATGCATAAGATGAAAAGCTCGTTTATTGATTAAATCCATACTAGGAATTATGGAAAAGTAGACTCTTTTACATTGCATTGTCTTTTTGACAAGATTTTGCCTAAGACACATCTTCATTAAAACACTGCTCAACCCTTTGCTTGTAACGTATACGCTAAAAAATAAAAATCAATTTTTATGTTATAACGATCTTTCATCACTGACATCATCCAATTGACAATGGATACAAAGATATTGGAAGAAACTTCGTATAGATCTTTCCCACCGATCCGTCATGTTTATCCATCGATTCTGTTTGATATAGCATTGCTTACACTAACTTGTTTAAGATTTATAACTACACAAAGTTTATTTAAGAATTTTTATCCATTAGTTACACAATTATGAGCACCCGCGACACATATGGAAAGAATAAGACGTGAATATTCGTTTTTCAACGTCTTGAATTGAACCTTGTTTCCAAGCTCGATCTCACATTATTTAAAATTTTGGCGTGGATGTCATGACGCGTAAAACATGGCAGCAAACATTTTTCGATTGCTTCCAAGGGATCGCGCATAGCAGATATACACACAACATACAGACAAAAGAATTGCAGAAACAATTAAATATATTATCCAAAAAATAATTTTGATTGTTCTACAACATAAATCATACAACAGAAAATGTAGATCCCTTGTTTGTATCTAAATTACAGAATTACAGAATTACAGAAACGATTTTATCATGTTTATCTCATTGCTTTTGCTTGTTCTTATTCTTTCTCTTTTTATCGCTTATTTCTCTTTTACTGCCAATAAAAATGATATAAAATGTGATCTGTTTATTGACAAAAGCGTCGAAATATGAATTACTTATGATCATTTAATAATTATAACAATATTATAATCAAAGGGCTAAGCGATCCTTTGGATTGTAAAAGATACATACTCTCCCCGTTCCCTTTTCTTCCCATAAAATTACAATCGTAGACAATAATATAGTTATAAAATATTAAATCACCAATTCATCACTTGTCAAACATCCCTCTTGAACAAATTACAATATACTATGAAATGACTAAAAAGTATCACGAAATATTAGCTGCTAATTTTTTCAATATACACATCAATTATGTGTAAAGCATGTTAGTTGCAGCATTTAACATCTCATAGTACATTTGGCAAGGTTTATATTCTTAGTTTATAGAGTGATAAACTAATGATCACATACAGATTTTCTGCACAAGAAACAATGACGACATTCACTCTATATGGGCACTTTGAGTGGTATATTATAACACGTTAATATCATTTCACCACTTATATAAATAAATAAATAATTTCAAAATAAATTCTAATAAGAATAACAATTTTTAATACAAAAACATTAAAACTGGTCAATTAACGAAAAAAAATTTCCCCCAAGAAATTATACAATAATTTTAATAAACTATTTCCTTGCAATTAAATTATTTGTTCTAATCAATATCAACCAAAACTGCGTAATAAAGAATAATAATAATGAAATTGGAGAGATTATATATATTAGAAATATACGAACGTGTTTTATATATGGCAATTCAAGTCATTGCCACCTTCTTGAAGTGATTATGTTTAGCCGGGAACTATGTAGGGGAGTTGAACCGTTAATAATTAATTTATCAGTTGATTAATTATTGGGGAACAAGGGAGTGAGGTTACTTTACACATCGCGCGCCGTTACATGAAACGCGAACGTTTGTGCGTGGGAGAACCCATATCCACGTCATGCGAAGCAGGCCGTTTATGATGTCGAGCGAATTCGCTACTAATAAAGGCCGACAATTCGGCTTGTCTCCCAGTACGCCGAGATATTGGTGAACCTATGCACAATTTAAAAAAAAAGGATTAGTAATTATTTAAAAACGAGATATTAAATTTAGCAGGCAAAAATTTCAACATCAACGTGAAAATCATTACAATTACGCAGCATGAAATGATTTCGAATAGCATGTAATGAACTTAAGTTTTATAGTTTCAAATTCACTGTAAATAATTCTTACCAGATAATGCAATTGCTTCTCTAAATGTGTGTAATTCAGGATCCTGATTATTACCAGGTATCGGTGTTGGTGCAACAACCATGTTTGGTGCTGAAGTTTCTGATGGAGACGAACCACACACCATCATCCTTGGTTTAGGTGAACTTCTGCAAATTCATTAGCATTCATTTTACATCTGCGTTGTCTGCATTGTCTGCGTTGTCTACGTTAATAAGATAAACCTTATAAAAGTCTATAGAATATGAAATATTTATATTTTTTCACAGCGAAATACAGTAGCATGACTTTAATATCTTTCTCAGCTTCTGGAATTGTTCTACACAAAAGCAATAGGAAATATATTTGTTTGTACATTGAAGAAATTGATGTAATACTTACCTGTGTGAATGTGGTCTAGGTGGAGGTGGTTTTCCAGCAAGATATGCTAATAGGTCTTCTCTACGAATCATACGTCTCTTTTTTCTAGCCCAATTCATTATTTCTTTACTACGTTTTTGTCGACCCATTTCTATAGCTAATTCACTGCATCTGCGCATGCTGTCCATTGAATCTGTTAAAACGTGTGTTACATTTACATACCAAATTACAATATTTCTTTCTAATTAATGACAAGGCGTGAATAATATATGTGAACATTTAGGAAATAATCAACGCTCTCCTAAACACATTTCATGTATATTTATTAACAAGTAACTAAGTAAAGAAAGTATAATAAAGTAGAAAAAACTGTTTTTCAGAAATGATTTTTATAGTAGATGGATGTTTGAATTAAACAGAGAGATCCATGTGTTTAAAGCTATTAGTAATACACACAAGCAATGAATAAGTGAAATAAGAATAGAATGCTTTGCAATAGCTTTACAAATTTAAATTATTTAAAAGTAAAAAATCGGCAATTCCATTGTTGTTGCTTTAAAATGATAGGATAGAAAATTAAAATGAAAATTTCAGCATAAACAAAATAAACAATCGCTTCTTAAACAAGCGTCACAATCGATACACGTAACACTTGCATTGACAAATGTACGACATTATCGTACTGCGTGATTCATAATTATTTGCAAGGAATAGAAAAGAATAATTCGATTTTCGGCAAATAACAGGAATGCGATTCCGTTTTCTATAAATATTTGTAATAGTCCTGAAAGTTTGCGTCAATTAACAGCTGACCTTCAGCATTGGTCAGCTGTGCAAAGCACTCTGACGTACATCACATGCAAACACATTGTCGATGATGTGTGGATGCGTATACGTATGTGTGCAATGTGTGTATGTGTGTCTATGTGTGTGCGTGTGGGTGATAGCTGTATTAAAGAATGACGGAATGGCAAATGTGTGGATAAAAAAAAAGGAGAGAGAGAAAGAGGGGGAAAGCCGACACAAAAAGGATGATATCGTAAAGAGAGAGAGAGAGAGAGAGAGCGAAAGAGTAAGAGAATGATAGAACGTAGGTTTATCTTGCTCACATTGTTGACAAGAGAGACCAAGGAAGTGCACGCACCTTTGTACAACGATGTGACGGTACCTGCGGCAGTCTGGAAGGGTACCCATACAGAGACGCCGTGCGTACGATCTGCAAAAGAGCAAAGCCGAAAGGAACTGGTTACACGATCAGATCGATATATGCACACGCGGCGAAAAAAAGGGAATCGAGGCGAACGAGAAGGCGAGAGAAGCAGTGGCGTATCCTCTTCTCGTACGTCGCACAAAATGGATGTCACGCAAAATGGTAACTACATCGAGTACGAGACGTCTCGATGCTCGTGGAACACGCGTTTCACGGAACACGCGTTTCACGGACGAGCAAAACGATAGATACGATTCCGTTGATCGGTATCGCCGTCGAAATAACTTGCCTTTGTACAGCTGGGCGATGGCCGACGCTGTCGTTTGAAAACTCGTCCACATCTGCTGGGAATAAAGTTCCTTTTCGTTGTGCAGTTGCATTTCGTAATTCGGTTCTGTTTCTAACGCCTCGACGCACTGTTGCTCCCAATTGCTGTACCAGAGATCCATCAGGGGATCCTCGTCGCTCCGATCCTCGCTCATTCTCGACTCCGTCGTCCTCGGCACTCTTATTATGAGCTCAACACGCCTCGCCCACCCACACGCATTCACGACACACACAGAAATCGCGTAACCCCAAACGTTTGTCGTGTCTCGCTTCCCGTTCCTTGTATCTCTCTTATTTCCACCTTTTATGCCGCTCGTCTGCTTCGCGTAACGCGAACACGGTAGCTCGCATGTACATCACCACGAGTCAGGTCGCAGCCATTATGATGAGCCTCGCTCGAGGATCGCACGAGTCTCACGCGCAATGAAACACGAAACACGAATCGGCAGGTACGAAGAACGAACTAACCCAACGATGCACAATCCTTTTTCACCCCTCTACTGCGACGACGCAGTGGTCGCTAGAAATCACTACTGCGCTCTGTTCAAAGAGATCCAGTACCCTGTTGGTGCGCCTCTCTCCAAAATCGCGTGCAGTCGATAGGGAAGACTCTGCAATAGAGAAACTCGCTGTTTCACGGTCGTTTTTTTTTTCTTCGATCTACGTTTGTCGGTTCGTCGTATTTGAATTTACTAACGAGCTTCTTGCACGCGTGAAATAAAATTAGAATGGCATATATCTCGTCGTTGTTCTTGAAACTGTTCCTTCCTCAAAGCGAAACGATGTAAAACTCTGTCGGATGTACGTAAACATACTCTATACATATACATGCGATGACTAATTGTCATAGACTATCGGAAAATACAAGAAACATTAACTCGCTACGATCGGAGCTACGATGTTCGAGTTATCGATCGTGAAGTCAACAGTACCGTGCAACGTAATCAAAAATATTTACAGAAGAGGGCGCTGATCGCTACGATGGCGGAAATAATGTGCTCTAGGGTGCAACATTCTATACATTTGCATTTGCGTTTCAGCTGTTGAGTCGTACGTTTGTGCGGCTCCGCGAATTGTTGTACAAGCGAATTTTATACGTCTTTTGCTGCCAAAACAGCGTTTCAATTTAGAAATGACAGGGTTTACTGAAAGTGCACTTGTGAAACGATTAATGGACTTAAATCCCTCACAACAGAGCATTCAGACACTCTCCCTTTGGTTAATTCATCATAGAAAACATCATCCAACCATCGTGAAAGTCTGGTTCAAAGAAATGTGCAAAGGTACGTAAACGATTATCGTAAATATATGACGGCTTTCTATTTTTTTATTTAAAACTTTAGACGTCGGACATTGTTTTCTTATTAAATTATTTAGCATTTCAAGTCGCACATATGTGAATTCTTCTCTTTGTCAGAGAAATTTCTAGGTTAGGTTCGCAAGTTAAACGTTCGCTACATAATTGTGAACATACGTCTCGCAACAGTATGTCAATTGCAAAATTGTATTTCTATCGTTAGAAATCGTCTGTTACAATCAGAATATGTTACATTTTAGATAATATAATAATTTTCAATGTAGAAGTAAAATTTAGTAATACATTCTTACATACACTATACAATTGTGTGTTACAGTTATTAATTGTTTATACAAACGATCTCACTTTTTAACAATTTTTTCAAATTATGCCTCCGTTTTATTCTTTGAACAGTTGATCTATTTGAATTTATTTGAACAGTTGATAGATTATAATTTTATTGTATTGTACATTTTTAAAAATTATTATTATTTTACAATTATTACATTTTGCGTTGTAATAGAGTATTATAATAAATCTCATTTACTAATTACATGACTCTACAGTAAATTAAGTTTTGTTGTAATTTAATTGAAATTAGTTGACTTTATACTTATAAAATTAATAAATTTACGTCTTATTCATTTATACTTTATCAAGTGTTGTTATTATCATTATTATTAATGTATCTTTGCAGTGAAAGATAATCGTAAGCTGATGTTCATGTATTTGGCAAATGATGTTATTCAAAACAGTAAAAAAAAAGGACCAGAGTTTGGGAAAGAATTTGAAACAGTTTTACCAAAAGCTTTTGAACATATGAAAGGATTTGACGAAAAAACAAGGGAAAGGTTAAATAGGCTGCTCCAAATTTGGGAAGAGAGAGGAGTTTATGATAAATTACAAATTGCCGAATTTAAGGCTGCCTTTACAGACATTTCAAAAGATTCAGGGGCACAACCTCCAAAAAAGAAATTTAAGAGTGACATAGAGAAAGTAAAGGTAACATAAAATATTGATTGCAGTTGTAAAGTATAATAAATATAAGATATAATACGTCTAATTATATTATATTCATTGTATATTACAGAAAGATAAAAAGGAGAGAAAGAAATCAGAGACTGAGGTCGAAGTGGATGGAACCAAAGAGCTACATGTAACATTAAGTCCTCGAACTCCTGCTGGAGATCCACCAGAGACGGAAGAACTCATCAAAGCTTTAATGGTTAATATCATTTATAAATACAACAAAAATTGGGAATATGTATCGTTAGCAATAAACTATCTTATATGTAGAAAAATATTTGTTGAATCCATAAGGCATATTGGCAAGCATATTTACAGTTTGACATTTCCATCCCCAGTAGTAATTTTACAACTATCTTTTTCATTCTTAATCTATGTTATAATATATTTTGTTCTGTTCTAACTTTTCTGTTCTCTACTAACAAACATTTTGTTTATTATTTATTATGTAAATAATGACAATAACATGGATTTTATTTAAAATATATATTATATGGTATTTTCATCTTTTTTTCTTTTTTACAAGTAATATTCTTATTTAATTAAATCTAATTTTATGAAAAGAATGTCCTTTATTCTTTTAAATGAACTTTGCATATGATCATATAAGTTAAACATCCTTAAATATGTTTATGTACATAATTTATGTACATTTATGTATTGAAGGCAATGATTAAAAAATGCCTTCTTTATTTCAGGATTTGGAAAATACAGCATCCTCAGATGCTGGTGTTAGAGAACGTATTGCCTCCTTACCACCAGAAGTTTCTGAAGTTTCTCTTCTGGCAAATTTAGCTGATAGGGCAGCTGCAGATCAATTAAGTGTTGCAGTAAATGAAGCTGCTGCACTGCTAGCAGATTATAATGGACGATTACAAGCTGAAATGGAAGATAGGAGAAGATTGTTAACTATGCTTAGAGATTATACTTTAGCGCAAAGACAATTGCTTCAACAGGCACAAACAACTTTAGAGGTATGATTGTACTCTTTTTAGAAAATAAATTATTCACATTTATTTAAAAAAAATATATATACATATAAAATTTAATGATGTTACAGGACTATAAAGAAAAACTTAAAAAAGTATGTGCTGTTCGATCCGAGGTGAAATCACACATTTCCAATTTGCCTGATTTGACACAATTACCTGATGTTACGGGCGGATTAGCACCTCTTCCATCAGCTGGTGATTTGTTTTCTATGCACTAGCACGTGAATTTAGAAAGCACGATCGCTAAATTATTTTTGAGTTCCACACATAAATGAATGCAACCATGCTATGTTAGCTTGGTTTTTGTGATGAAGTATAATCTTATACTATAACTTTCTACTTTCGAAATACAAGATTGTAAGGTACTGACAGAACATAAAATCATTTTGCAAAATACTTTAGAGATGTGAATAAGGAAACGAACCAAGTAATTGTATGATATTTCAGAATTTGTAAAACTACAGCGCCAGTAATTTTCAGTGTTATATTTCAATTTTTTCTTGTTCTTTTTAAGTACACTTACCGGTGTAATAAATCGTTAATTTTTATTAGAATATTTTAAAACGTTTTTCGATTCAAAAGTAATAATGTTCCTGCTTGCCATTTATACAATTCATAAGGAACTCAAAATATTGAACTTTCACATAATATCATAGATAAATATTTTGCCAATAGTTTTCGTAAATTTCGTATATATTTTGTTATTTATAACAAAATATATACGAAATTTATATAAAATATATATATCAAATTCGAATGGACATGTCATTATTTACATACAATTATATAAGTCGGAAATTTTATTTTTAATTTAATTAATCCAAAATTATGTGGAGGTCCAAAAAAAAATTTTCGTATACTTACGAAATAACAAAATGTATTACATATGTTACAAATATGCACTTAGAAATGCAAATACTGAAAATTTTTAGTTTCCCAAATATTGCAACGAGCAATATTTAGAGTGTTACACTTATAATATTTGATAATTATCCTTTGTATATATATATATCGTAGGTAATGTAATAATGGGACTGAAAACTTCTTAAAATATAACGCTGCAGTTGATTTTGAATGAATACTGATCTGCATAAGTAAATAATATTGTATATGTAATATTGTATGAAATAAATCGCGTGATTGTGCATTGCGGAAATTGTAATAATATGCAAAATATTAATACGAATAAATGTTTTGATCGTTACAAGAGTTTCTTTTTATTAACCACAATTATTTTTTTGCAAAATAGCAAATATTTAAACATTATTGTTTATTATAATTATAAAATAAAATGTACTATCGATAAGATTAAAAATTAAATTGGATATAAAATTCGAAATGATAAATTACAATTATTTTTTGTCAATATTACAAGAATTTTGATTATTTATTTACAGCATATTAACAAAATGTTGTGTACATTTTTTAAATATACAGTCATGTTCTTATATGCATTATTGATAATGTAAACCCTCACATATTTATACTTATGTATTTGTATACATAATAAAATCGTACATAAAAATTTTAACTTGTACTCTTAGCAAACATATATGGCAAGAATTACATATTTTTTTCAATATTCACATTATATGTCAATAATAAAAAATTTTGTTAACTACAGTATCAGATTGCTTTAAAATAAACTATATATATAGTAAATTTATTAACTAATGTCACTTTGTACAAATTATTATATCATAGCAGTATGTGTTTATTATTCAAGAGTCTCCAAAATAAATCCAAGATATATATATATAATTTAAACATTTTTTATCATTCTCCAGAATAAATTTATGAAATGCAAAATTTTGTATACATTATCTCCAATGTGATTACGAGATAAAAATAATCTTACATGAATGTAAAGAATGTGTTTTATATTATATGTATATGTTCTTGGAATTCAAATACTTATAAACACTTCGAAAATTAACACAAAACCTATGTCCATTTCTTTTTAATTTTCATGATCTTGATCTCGTTGGCTTAAGGATGAGTTTTCCAGTATCATCACAACTCATGTTAAAATTACTGAGAACACTTCTAGCTCTTTGAGTTATAATACTTGGTGCTATTACGCGTCTATGGACTCCCATTATGAACAATATAACTGGAACAAATTAAAAATATTTATATTTATATTTAAAAATATTTATCTATGCATATACAGTAGAAATCTCGTATTGTTTGTACTTACATAAAATGCTACTAGCAATTGCAAAGAATGGGTGATTGTATAAACTTTGTGTAAATGATACGGCTGATGTATTTGGATCTGTTAACCAATGCCATGCGCCCACAGCAGTACACACAGAAATGAAACCAAGTAGTACTGAAAATAAAATATTATATTAAATATACATAAGATAAATATTTTGAATAGCATTATTTACGGAGGTACTTCATTAATTTCAATATTCTTGAAATATGTTGTCAAGGATGTGATAGCATTATTTACGGAGGTACTTCATTAATTTCAATATTCTTGAAATATGTTGTCAAGGATGTGATTCTGAACAATTTTTCTCTATACATTGCTTTCTTTTAGTTTTTGAGACATTTACAAAAATATGCTGTATCAATTTATGTTAGGTTTATCAAATAAAATTATTATTACATCAGATGGATTTCTGCCATTACATCAAAAAATTGTCAGCGAGATAGCCTGTTTTGCTTATCTCTATTTACTCAATTCATTGTGCGGAGTTTAATTGTGTATTACAAAATGAAAACAGAAGGAGAATGCAGGATTCTGCACCCTCATCTTGAATCTATAATCTAAACTCAATCTAAATGTAACAAAAACACGGATACATCATGTACAGTACATGAATATCTCGAAAACTAAAGGAAAGCGACGTGCATATATAGGGGGAAAAGTTTTTTAGAATCATTGCCTCCGACAATATATTTCAAGCCTATTGAAATCGGTAGAGTGCACTTTATTGTAAATAATTATCAGAAAATTTCATGAAATATAAGAAACGCAATGAAATAAAAATAAAAAAAGAAAAACATACTTCTCCACCGTAGAGTTGCTGGTTGTAAACTAGCAATCACTTCGGTAAGTCGTCTTTCGAAAGCTTTCAAATCTGAAAACAAACAGTTACACAACATAACCTTAAAATTGATCGTTGTTTTTTACGTCATTATATGTAATCGTAAGATCATTATCATTAGGATATATTTATCGATTTAAATATTGAATTGCTGCTCTTACCCTCGCACACTGTTTGATCTAAAGACATTTTTCATGTGTATACATTTAAGCCGGGAAAGTTAAAAATAACTTCGGCTACAAGATTAAGTCATTCACACCACTTCAGTTGAAAATATAAATTATCATTACACATTAGATTTTTATCTCGTAACAGTTAAAAATTTATTTGTAGATGTAAATAACTAGATGTAATTTAAATTTATAACTGCTAATACTGTTTATGCACTAAAATTAGAGATGTATACAATAGAACACAGAAAAATCAAAGTCAACGTTCAGTATCAATACAGTAATACATATATCCAATATTATAATACATATATCCGCATATATATAATCATTCTTAGTTGATATAATGATATAATATATAATATATATGTGTATACATATATTATTCATTACATACATGTATATGTATCATCCTAAATTGCATTTTTCAACAAAATAAACATGATGTTACGATAACACTACAGCAAACTCAAATGTTTATTAATTTCATAATTATAATTTTTTCATTATTTCGTAATTGTATCCTAAATGTGTGCGCATGATCAATATCAACATATCGAATTGGATCGACACATGAAATAGTCTCACCACGACAGTGTTTCGATCTATTAAATAAAATTTGTAAATTTGCATTCATATGTAAGAATACTATGAAAGTAGAAAACAAGCTGAGAGTCTGAAATGGAAGATACAATATCGCAAAAGTTTATGAATTAATCCTTTTAATTAACATTTTTTGCATATAAATATTTGGTCGTTTCATGGACACTGAAATGCCTAGCACCACGTAGCGGTAGAAAGTTGGAACTAATCTGTCTGTGTTTCGATCTATCGAACGAAAATTTCAAAATCTTTATTCATGCGTTTTGTAAATCAATATTGAAAGAAAGCTGAGCGTCTGTAAACGATTTAAAAAATTAATAAATTAATTCTTTCTAATTAGCTTTCTAATTAGCTTGTTTTGTAATTAAAATGTCTTGTTTTGAATATGGCGACGCTCCCTGTCTTTTTCCTATGTTCTATTGCAGTGACGGCGAACCTTTTTGAGAAGTAGGTCAAATTTTGTTCATTATTTTTTTTAGTACTAGCTCGTGGGTCACTAAATCAGTGGCGTCACTTGGAAAGGGGGAGGGGAGGATGGTTAAAAGCTACTTTTTCTTGGTTCTCACTTTTATAATCCTCTAAAAAGTTTACGTTTCCATTTTGTTTTACAACTTTTACTTTTGCAAGTGAAGAGCAACAAATAAATGTCGACGTCAAAAAATTGATATAAAAGGGGTGACATCATGCCCAGTCATCTCTGCACTATACATTAGATACATATATTTTATTGTAGGGTCTGTGATTACACGGCAGTAACGTGATTTGCCCATTATCTATAATTGTTGCCCATTATATATGTCGAATTAATTTATGACATTCTTTCTTACATTCAATATAATGTAGGATAGCTGAAGAATGTTATCTCCAAGTTCGCTCAAAATTACACGGTTCCCAAAATTATAAAATTTTTTGCCGATCGTTGTCGGCTTTTTTTTTATTGGAAGCTGTCCAGGCTGTCCTTTTCATAACTATTGGAACTCTAAACATAAATATACCTTCTGAAATATATCGTTTCCACCGAGTGAGATAGTTAGAAACCTTGGAGGGTGTGTTCCGAGTTTTCACCGATTACCTGAAGGTTCGGCCGAGGTTGTCAATCATTATTGATTTATAATTTCGTTTACCACGGAACGTAATAAAACTCGAGAAATACTACAAAGCGATTGGTTTATTTTAGCCAAAATTACCTACAATTAAATCATCATAAATTTAAATACGTGAAATGTATAATTTTAATCTCTTACTTACCTTTTTCTTTTGTGAAATGTATTTAATCTTCTACTTACCTTTCAAATGTGTAACTCTTACTTATCTTCTAAATAGTAATCTTCTAATTAAACATAATTTCCGAATAATTCTGTAATTCTAGAAAATAAAGAACTGAATTCCTTTCAGGATACGAAAACAATTTAATGATATTTCTCATTTCAAAAGTATTTCTCCACGTTACTTCTCGTTAAAGGATCAAGATCCTTTGTTCCAGGTTTGCTGGAAGGGTCATTAAGTCATAATCACTCAAACTGGACTGTTTAGCTGAGATTGTTTTGCTACTAAATGTGTTCGTGTATTTAATTTTACATTTCTACTCGTATTTACTTCATAATTAAAAGAATTAAATGATACTTTATACAAGGAAAAATCTGTATAATATTGATGCATTAATAATCCTATTATGAAGTAGATTTAGAGTTTCCTACGCTGAATATTGAGTATCAAAAGTAGAAAATATTCCAAGACTTTTAACGCGGACTTAACATTTGAGAATCCCGTAAGACATAGACAAACAGGAACATGCTCCGTTAGGTCAGAAACCTCGGACGGGCAATAAAAAAAATTGTCCACTTGTAACTGAAATGCGTAAACCGAGAGACGCATTTATAGCGTAACAGAAAGTCTGGCAATACGGGAAACGTCTATTAGCGCACGTTAAGAACCGCGATTTTTAATTAACATTCATCGCGGAAGATGTGATCTCTGACCGTCAAATAGACGGTTGGAGGTCATTATCCCTTATCTTGCCTGTCTGGTCAATATTATCGACCCTGACAATAGTGTACAAGAGGCTCCCCGTGGTTGATTCACGATTGTTCCCATAGAAACGTAGCCGGCGATCGAATCGCGGCCGCGCGTTCCTCCTTTCGCGTTTAATAGAGGCGGCTTGCACGTGTGTGCAAGTAAGTACGTGCCCGGTGAACCTTGTACAGTCATGCAGGCCCTACCGCAGTCTCAAATATTGACACGACCTGCGATGAACTCGAGCAACGTCTTTTGACGTCCAAGGGTTTCGAACTCGAGGTATAGGTTTCGCGCCGAAACTCGCGTTCCGCCGATGGTTAACGCTCGATGGTTCGCCAGTTCTTCGAGATAAGAAAAGAAAAGAAAGGAAAAGATAAAGATAAAGAAACGCCTACGAATAGGTAAAACTTGCCGCGCTTACTTACCAAGGGCTGATCACCGAAGACTGGTTGATGTAGGGTCTCGTTTTTTTTTTTTTCTTTCTTCTTTTCATTTCCTTTTCACTCGCGCGCCCGTGGAAATTTCGTTTCGCGTAAATCGCGCCGCGCGCCAACAATAATGCTCGGGAGAACGTCGCTGGTGGAACAAAAAAGGATCCAGTGGGCGAGAGAGAGAGGTGAGACTCGAAATCTTGATTATTTGTCAATAAATTCTGTAAACGTCCATTTGCATTACGATTTAATTTGTTGACTGCCATTACGGCTTATACTTGAAATTTGCATAGAACGATATATGAATAGATAGAAAATTCTTACGTTGTTACATTCCATTCATTAAAAAGGAAGGATTTTTAATGAATCACCACTTGAGAATTATTCTGCGTTTGATGATAGATATAGAGCAGACGTTACTCATAAAATACTCCGCTTCGTGATGCAAATGGGAAAATAAACAATTCTTGCCGGAAACTTTGTATCGTTGAGATCTGCTCGATAGAATAGTAGACATTGAAAAATATCGAAATTAAAGATACGTCGTATACAAAAATAGCACATCGCGTGCTACGTTTCTTAAGTAGTGAGTTTAGATGGATATGTAAGTTGTACACGTATATAATGTAATTGTCGTGATATTTGAGGTCACGTAAACTCTTGATATAAAAGTAGCCTATAAAGAATAGAAAGTAATAAAATAATAAATATGAGAGAGACTGACGATATTGCGCGGGAAATTAATATTTTATACGAATATACTATAGAAGAAATGGCACGTCTCGGCGGAAGCTGGAGTCTTCTGAAAGATAACGTCAATATCCGCACCAATATCCGGTAAGTATTGCGTTACGACGATAGAATAAACGGACGGGACACGCGATAAATTTCGTTATTTCTGCTCTTCTGTTCGGCAACATTTAATTCAATCTTCAATTGGCCACGTTTTCAAATATTAAATAATTCTCGAACGTCGAATGCGATAGATCGGGAGGACTTAACTTAAACAGGCCCTTGATCGACGCCGGTTAACTACATATCTGATTTTTACAAAGTTAAATACGACGCGATACATTTCAAAGAGAACGCTACCTAGAAACAAGATGATCTCTGAACTAAAGCTAAATCATTGTACCCAAACGCCAAACGAATGACAAGTTACCACATCTTCCCCTGTAAATTCGCTGAACTGTCCAAGAACACATCCAAATAGTGTCAAGGCACTCGTACCTAGTTCATTAGATATCCAGTAGGCCATATTAAACAGCCGTGCTCAATGCTAGACCAGAGAGGCTCTTCGCATCGATCCGATAGTAAATCAAGCTGTCTTTACGTTGCACGCGGCATACGTTGATAAACCTAAACGTGTAAAACGCGTAACGCAGAACGTATCCGAGCGGCGGCGCAAGAATGTCCTTGGCGGGCACGAAGGACAAGCTGTCGTCCTCGAAACCTTTTCGTGCCGCTGGACATTACGGAAGCACCGTCAGCCTCAAGAGCCTGGCGACAGAGAGTTCCGGAAACGGCGGCACCAGCCTAAAGTGTTTGGACTGCAACGGTGGTAGCTTGATAAATCTGCACGAGCAGACGGAAGTGTCGCAAATCAGGCACAGAAGCCCGAGCTTGCCACCGATTTACAACAAGGATCAGCAACAATATCTTTGTCAGGTTCGTTCGCAACGATCGCTCGAAGGAGCAGCATGTAGCTCGCAACACTCGCAAAAGAAAAACATTTTTTCAAAAACAGAAACACCTATATTGATATTAATCTTTGATAAACAGACATTTGATAATTTTAATAACGTAAGGATAACGATTCATTTGACTCGTTGAATATTGTAAACAGTACACTTGAAAATCTCCCGTAGATCAGAGTAAAGATTCGCATAAAATCCAATAATAAATAGGAACAAAAATGTGGGAGTGTAATTTTTATGAGACAACATACGCAGACGCGAAATTTGGGACAACCGTGGTTTCTTTTCGTAACTGAATATTTGCAACATTGTCCCAGATTCTGTGCTTCTGTATTGAGTGTTAATAACGTAAAGATGACGATTCACTTGACTCGTTGAATATTGTAAACAGTACACTTGAAAATCTCCCGCAGATCAGACTAAAGATTCGCATAGAATCCAATAATAAATAGAAACAAAAATGTGGGAGTGTAATTTTTATAAGGCAACATATGCAGACGCGAAATTTAGGACAACCGTAGTTTCTTTTTGTAACTGAATATTTGCAACACTGTCCCATATTCTGTGCTTCTGTATTGTGTATGATTGATTGCTTTTGAATATTCAACGAGTAAAATTTGTTCCAAAAGCTGTTCCGTGCGGTACACGTAAGAGTAACAAACGTGCACGTGCTTTTAATTGCCGTTTCGAGACTGTGCCGAAGGCTATACGTGACTCTGTGTCTTATTCGTGAGGGGAGAGCAAAAGTAAGGCAGTCTGGCAAATCGATTCTTATCTTTCAGCTGAGGTTCACTCACCTCTTGACTACCTCTTGTCCCTGTGTGTGACCAAGTCTCTTACTAAAATTACACGCTTTGTAGTACATACCCCAATTCTTATATCGAACGTACGTGGTATATACGTGTAAAGCGATTACACTTTATATAGATAGCTCGAAACAGAAAGAAGTAATGTTAAAATAATTACAGCACGTAACTGGACAGCAAAAGGAAGTAATTTCCAGAGCATGTGTTTTAAGAGAGCCGTTCTCGTTTAAACAATGAAACGTAATAAAAGCAACAGAACAACTGCACCCGCTTGCAAATTTAAACCTACGTCAAGATAGCGAACAGTTACTATCAATCTCGCAAGTCGATACAGAACCCTGTCACGGTTTGTCGTCCCTGTCTCGTACTGGTACAGAATTCATATCCCAACTATATACATACATACATACACACAGACGTATACGTTCAGGAGGTAGCACGATTTCAAGATTGATGAAAAAGCTCGAGAAATTGCTCTTTCGTCACGCAAACCGTTCTATCATTGCGTTCACGATGTATCCATTCGTTTCGTTTACGTATTCCAGAGCCAACAACGAGATTTCGCAGCAGAACGACTGCATTATCATTCGGAGAAACATCATCGACTGTACGATCGTTATGAGAATTCGAAAAATAATCATTACGGCTCGCAAGGCGAAGAACGGGAGGGAGAGACTTCCGGTTACGCCAGCGACTCCGTAGACGTGCCCGTATCGGCGAAAGGAAGTGAGTCACGTTGTGCTAGAAATTTTGAATGAAAGAAAAAAAAAAAAAAAAAAAAAAAAAAAAGAAACTCGACACAAAGGCAAAGAGGAAAATTTAAATCAAAGACGATTGTTAGAGAGGAGATATTTTGCATTGTTCGTATGTTTGAATTGATTTCAATTCGATTCTCCAGCATTGTTGCCCGATTGCAAGCCACTAGGGGCGGACATGGCCGAGAAGACGTGGCAGAATCCCTATCAGACAACGCCCGAAAGTTCATTGCCACCATCGAGGAGATTATCTGATGGCAGAATAGGCGAACTTAACAGGCCAAGGTGGGGTAGTGTCTGGGGCCAGGAGACTGCACGAGGAGATCCACCGCCGCCCTCTTGGCTGTCGAGATTAGGGCACTCCAGTCAAGTACGATCGTCAGAAATACTTCCTAATTCGATTTCAACGAGTTGAAAATTTCAACGACTAATACCTTCCAGACTCAAAATATATAATCTTCTTCCTCTTTTCTTTCTTTTCTTTTTTTTTTTTTCGTTAATATTTATCAAGGTTCTAGTTATTAATCACGACAGCGCGAGTAGCTCGGACAGCTCGACGGTGGGCTCAATCGGATCCGACAGCAAGACCTATCTCCGCGGTCAAAATATTCCTGTCGATGCACAAATTCTTCAAGAGAGAGAGGTGAAGAGACAGAAAGCTCTGGCGCTGCAGAACGCGATCAAAAAGCAACTGGAAGAGAGGGATCGACAAAGGAAGGAAGAAAAGGAGCGACGTCTGAGGGAGGAACGGCTGGAAGAAGAACGGATCAAACGAGAAAGGGAGAAAGAGAGGGAAAGGCAAGTTTATTGGCAACAGAGGCGCGTGCAGTTAGTTCGATAATTCGTTGACGAATGATTTTTTTACCATAGATTCGAGGAAGAGCAAAGAAAACTGAAAGACCGGGAAGCGGCTAAGCTGAGGCAAGCCGAGGCGATGCGCGAAGTTTTAGAAGCGGCGGAACGTTTAGCGAAGGAACAAAAGAAATTTCGGCGAAAGTGTGAGAAAGATAACGAGGAAACGTCCGCCGTGTCTTCAAGAGACTGCGAATCCAATACTTCGAGTGAAAGTCAGACCGGCAACAATTGTCCGAGCGAAAGGAGGGACGACGACGTTAAGAACGAAATGGAAACGTTGAATAAAGAAGAGAGTAACAATGTTAATGACAATAGTAATAATAATGAGACGCACAATGACGATAACAACGACGATGACAACAATACGACGGAGGAATCGATGGAACAAACTACCAACGATATAAAGTCAGTCCAGGTTCCTGTCAGCAAGGATGTGGCCATTGTATTGAGTGGCCGACTCGAAGATTCAGATCTGCTCAACAAAGCGAATCTGCAGTTGGTCAACTTGGTGTTGACTCCGACACCAAGAAAATTGGAAAATAATTCCAACGACAATTTGCGCGTAGGTTTGAACAGCCTGATGCAGAATGTGGCAAGTTCGAACCTCGCTCCGAATTCCTCTATAATATCGAAGATGATCGTTGAGAACAGATTGCTCACGCCGAGCAAGTACAGGGCCACGAACGGTCGAGATTTCGGCACGCAAACAGATATAGAAAACGATCAGGATTATCCGGAGAAAGTGCAGGACTTGTCCGCTAAGGATACTTCTATGAAGGACCGCAAGGATGCAACGAATGCGATTAAAAGGGACATCGAAAAGTGAGTCGTAATATGATGCATTGAATCAATTGAAAACTTGAAGAGTCGTAGAGGATATTATTCTTCTGTCTTGCAAATAGAAGCGGTAATTATGATTTCATTTCGTTCCTTCCGAAAATCGAATATTTCCCACACATTTTACAATTTGTACAATCCTCTTCCTTTGTTTCTTCACGTTACTCTCCTTTTTTTAATGTATTCACATTTGCACGAGTGTACGTTATTATTTACATTATCCACGTTACATTTATTTTCGTTGTATCTGAATACGAAAATATATTTTGTGACGTACTTACGCAGTCGTTGGGTGTATTACGTGCAATATTTATTTGTTAATTCGAAAAAAAAGGTCTGCCAACGTTGGATTCGTGGAAGAAATTCTTGTAAAGTCATTTCCTCGATCGAAACCTCAAGCTAGAAGGGCCATAGAATCTAGACCGCAGTGGAATGCTAATAGGTAACATTTAATGAATATAGTTATTTTGGATACAAGGAATATTCAGATAATTCAGCCGGTTCCTTAGGCCGGGAACACGATATCGCACGCAAAGTGAAAAAGATCCTCATTATCAACGACGATTGCGAATGAGGAGGCGTCAAGTGGAGTCCAGCGACGAACGTTCCAGGTAATTTTTCCTAATATTCTCATTTGCAAATTGATGCATATTGTAACAGACGATCGACCATGGCTTCCTCGACATAGGTCACCATCACCCGACAGGAGGAAATTTCTAAATATTAAATCGAAAATTCGAGCGTTAAGTAGGCCGAAGTTAAAGGTCGACAGCTACGACGCTGATCTCTCGATGGATAGCTTGAATTCTATCGTACCACTGAGAACTGATAAGAATGGAAGAATCACTATCGAGGAAGCCAGATGCGAACAAAACGATAAGACTCGACTGGGCAACGCTCGTACAAATAACACCGACGATATCAAGAAATCGCCGAACGAAAATTCCAATATCTGGTGCGGACAAGAAATTTTATCGAAATTATCTACATTGAAAAACGTACGTCGTACGCATAACGAGACTGAGGGAATCTGCGAGCGTATTATCGACGCTCCATAATCTAATCAAGTAAATCTGTTTTTTTTCTGTTTTTCAGGGTCTTTTAATGAAACAGATCGAATGGGATTCCGAGAGATGCCTGATCTCTCCCGCTGCATCCGAGATCTTTTAAGAGAAACCAAACAGTCGCGCATTTCGTTCGTCACGTTTTTTTCTTTTTTTTTTCTTTTTCTTTCTTTTCCTTTTCGTTGCTTTCGTTTTATTTTCGTAGAAAACGAGATCGTACAGACAACGTTGTAGAATAAGGAAGGGAAATAATGATTTAACGTGTGTCGGAAAAATGAGATGCGAATATTTTTCTTGGATTGCAGATATAGATAATGGCCTTCCAGTTGGACGATCTTCTAAAAGAAGATAAGAAGGATGGAAATCTGTTGCCTGATTTAAGCAAAGCAACCTGTAATTCTCAAGAAGAATTCCGACGGCTTTTCGAAAACTGTCCGGAATTTAAGATTAAGCCGGAGAAGGTTTGAATTGAATTCTTTGCTTATTCCGGACGGTCAAAAGAGTTGCGTGGCAGTAACTATGGGGCAATCATGATAATAGGTGAAGAAAGACGATGCAAAAGTGCGCGATAAAGAATTCTCTTGGAAGCCAACGAGGAAAGAACTGAAAGCGCATGGAAAAGAATGGAATTATGGTAATCCAGTACCTCCGGACATGAGGGAGTTGCATCTTGGCGAATTGCAACAGGTTGCTATCGACTGGAGAATGTTGACACCGATCAGACCAAAGCATCGGCAAGACGAGGAAATGTTTTCCAGATTGGTATATTTGTCTTATTCGAGTCTCGTATTCGAGGCACGCGTATCGCGTGTAATTAACTTCTTTTTTTTTTTTAACCGTAAACGTTAACATGCTTTATGCTGGTGCATTAAAAAAAAAAAAAAAAATGAACAGCACACGATCAAATTTATTCTACATTATTTTACGTCCTGTCTCTCAGGTGGAAATGGGGAAACTGGAAGCAAAAACAATCGCTAAAGAACGACGATCGATCGTAAGTCCGATTCGACGTATTAAAAATCGCGCCGGCATGATCGAGAGTAGCGTAAAAATTTGTGCCGAGTGTGGCGAGGAGTATTGCTTCGGTGAATTTTGCGGTGATGTCATGTACGATTTATTCGTGAGGGTAACCGTTACGATTCAACAGCCGAAAGTTAAAGTATCGGCTGATACCGAAGCGATAATAGCCAACATGGATCGTAAAAAGAAGCACAAGAGGAAGAAAAGAATTAGAAGCAAGAAGAGAGCGTCCAGAAAAAGTGGTAGACTGTTGATTCGAAGCAAAGGAATGAAATCTATGGTTAACAACTTGGTAAGAAGAAACAGTAAGAGCAAAGTGGAAAATGAGGGCGATTCGAAGCCTGTTAAGCCGTTCAAAAGGAAATGCAGTAAATACACTAAGAAAGGATTTCGAAAATAGAAAGCGTAGGAAGTAAGAAAAATTCACCGATTCATTTGTTACAAAGATCAGTTTCAAGTAAATGATTGGTGAACTCAAATGAAACGCATGTGTTTGTTTGTGTTTGCGTTTTTGACTATAAGCAGATTAATTAGTAACGATATAGATATTGTACAAGTTTGTATGATGTAAATAATTAAATGTAGGAAGTAGAAATTAAAAGAGAACGATGAAGGAATAATCGATGAAAAAGTAAAGTGAGAAACAAGGTTCTGTATGTTTTATTATTTGTCTATATTCTGTGGTCCCTTGAAACGTGGAATAAACTAGCCTTCCTTGTACAATATTCGAAAAACTGCAATGACAATTAAAAATGTAGGTACAAAACACTCTAACGATAATTAACGGGCAGGCGCAGTGAATGGTTGCAACCAAATGTTGGAAAAATATAATTTTTATTCCTCATTTCATTTACCTCTTTTTGCCTTTTTCTATTTTATGATCCATTCTTTCTTCACTTATACTTCTATTCCAAAAATGTCACAACCAAAAGTCAATTAAAAGAGAAATATTCTATTTTTTTCTATGTTTTTATACCGATTTTTCGACAATTCTTTACAACTACTATATATATATATAAATGTTGCAAGAATTTATACAAATTTTCAAAGTTTGCAATAATTGCACAGTTCAGACAAGTGAGCGCAGTCATTGGAAACAGAATATTTCTCTTGAATTATATTTTTTCCATTGATTTTAAAAGAAAATTCCACTTATATCTATTTCAACATTATATCGTGCGCTATGTATAATAATAATATTTGAACTGACTGAAGTACACGCATTTTACACAAATATATTTATATAGATATCATGATATCGATAGCTACATTAACACTTTTGGTGAATAAAATACATCGTAAATAACTATGACATTTCTGCTTCATGGTATAATATAACATCCTAAATTAATCTATTCCGTATATCTTCCGTATTCATTTTCATTTTGCTATACGCGGTATCTTAATTATGATCAGAGTCCTAGAGCATCACTGTTAGTTCAATGACATTGCAAGCGTTAGGCCACCAATGTTTTAACTTCTACGTAATGATGTATGAAAAAAATTTTTCTCAAGCAAAAAAAATATTCCGATAACTTCGAAATAAACGTCATCATATTGTAATCACTAGATAAACTTGTTAGTAATCCCATTAAGCCACAATGAAAATACACATTTCAAAATATAATTAACTTCGTTGGACACTGATCGACACTTTTTAAATACCTCTACAATCATACTTACATAGCAATATTACTCAATCACTAGCTCTTTAAGCTTCTACCACCTCGGTATACAATAAAATTGCACATATATATATTTAATTAGAAAGAACATTGCTGATTAATATACATATATACAGTAGCGATAATAATCTTTTTAATTGTAATTAAATTCAGTTAATTTAAATAGTTTTTATTTTCTGGAAAGACTTCCTTATATCATCAGTATTTAATTTTGTATGCAATTCTTTCTTTTAATTAGAATCTTGCGACAGCAAGAGTTTTATAGTGATTTTATACCGATATTTAATTATTCGTTAGACGTGAGTAAAGTGCATATAAATGTTATTCAAAATACGATATCCTTCTATCAACACATGCGTTTAGAAACTCCCGTGATTTCTAGTCTCGTTAATCGAATTAGCTTTGCCGCTTTGTCATTACATCATCACGCGAAGAATATTACATACAAAAATATAATAATATTAAATACCTAGACCGTATGATTCGGCAGCTGCTCAAAATTGTTCCAATTGTTGAACTTAAGTACACCAACGATTGTTCGTTAAATATCAATATCTTTTACGTCCAGCGTTAAACGATGACACAATGTTACTTTGCTTAATTCATTGTCCACTTAAATATATAAATTTAATACAGTTATAACACTGAATATCGATAGGATACACGTAACGCGAATTATTTAAGCGATGTTTGCATTCACAGGTCTAATAAAAACAAAATAAAGATTTTACTTTTCCTTAGTGCCGTTTATAATTTAAACAACAAAGTGTAACAACTTATGCGAGTAGGAAAAATCATTATATACTTCAACATTGATCACAATGTTTGTTGTAGAAAAAATCTGTACATTCTATATTTCAATTGTAATATAATAGGTACTTTGAATAATTCGTTCGACTAATTGCGCATAGAAAAATAAAATTATAAAAATGCAGATTTTGCTATTGCTCGCTACGTAAAAAATTGGAAATGTGAAAACGATATATTTATAATAAAAAAAAAAAAAAAAAAAAAAATGAATATTGATGTCTTTTCTTTTCTTTAAAACTTATTATACAACTGTTGCTCTTAATAAAGTAAAAATTTTTGGCACGCGTAGGGACACTCGATACAACCCGATTGTATTTCTCTCGATTTCACATAGTAATAACAACGATTCATACTATGTATGGAATTGAAGCTCGTTCAAAAATTGTATTTAAGAAACCTTCTTTTCGTTTCTTTTCAAATCAATAAATATTTTATAACAAAGAATTTTTGAAACTATGCGAGATACTAAAACTATTAATACCTCATATGTCGCGAAGTATAATAAATATTCTGTGAAAATATATTAAGGATAAAAGTACAAAATATGAATAATTATTTAAACAGATATTTTTTCACTTCTTTTCACTTATAAGTAAAAGCTATAAACGATAATATTATTTAATAGTACTATTTTACAACGTTCAAGTAACGCTCAGGTATACAGTATACTTATCACAATATTTCATTCGCCATTCTAAATATTTTTTTTTTTTTTCATCTTTACATATTAATATACAACACTAATTAATAAATTGTTTCGAGCAAATGACGTTACAATGCATCACCTCTATCAATTATTCGCGATAAGGTGCAACTAACATCATTTTTCAATTTGAATTTTTGTCTTTTCATTTTTTCAGAAAATAGAAGTCAAAAGACTCTAAATATAGTACTCTGAATATAGCACTAGGTTTTCTTTGAAGAGATCCTTAATATTTAATTCTTCTTTCAAGATATTACTTTTCTTAGAGTTTAACTCTTGCATTTCCATGCCATACGTAATATTATACATAATATAGATATTAACGATTAAATAACCGTAATTACATTAGTTAAAAAGACTATTCAGAGACAACTTTTAATGTATAATTAATGTACTCACTATATTTTATACATGGCATAAAATGTGAACGGCTGGATTAGATTGTTCGTAAAAAATTAAAAGACAACATAACATAACTTTGATTATTTGACCCACGTCTGATCGTATTCATTTGTAAGATTTCCTTTACATTTTTTTTCAATAGAATTACTTTTGTATGTGAAGAGATAATCATTGCAGAAAACATTATCCTCCTTTCTATTAAACATATGTAATAGCTAGACACTTTGAAAGTCAGAATGCAATTTTATTTTTATTATATCAGATAACATAATTAATAAAAATCAGCGTTAAGAACGATTTTAAGTGTAAATTAAATACTGTGTACATTTTTAATTATTATATATGTAGTAGCTCATGTTATATAAACACTCAAATTCGAAAATAGCATATATAAGTCATATATTATGCAAATAAATAATAAAATTCAATTAAAATTATTTATTTTACTTAATAAATTAATCATATGTAATTGTATAATGACTTTCATTGTACCTTGTTTTATTTCTTCCCATAACTTGGCACAAATTTTGTCGTAGATTCATATATTCTTATAAATACACATCAATCCTTAAAATTCATTACTGATGTACTTTTTATAATAAAATATTCATACAAGATATACATACAGTTTATTATTACAAAGTATATAATTTTGGATCTATATGCTGGAATAAATTACTCGCTATCAAATATAAGAAAATATTTCTCTCGATACTTTGAACAAGACATGTACATCAGTAATGTAAACTTTTCTCCAGATTGTCCTGCACTTTATTATTGTTTTGGAATATACTTCATACTTTCTAAGTTTTGGCTTTCAACCGTTCGCATCTATAACGTTTAAATTAATTATAACGTAAAACCAATATCTAAAATGTTAATAACGTGGATGCAAACATGTTGCAAATCTAAAAAAAATATTGTTTATAGGACTTCCTGACGAAACACAAAAGACATAAGTACTATTTTTTAACAATTCATACTCAATATGAAACTCTTATAAATATATACTAAGATGTAGCTGTAGTGAATATTAATGCATCATTATAAACACATATTAAAACCCTTAAAAGGATAATATACATAATAATAATAATTTTATAGTCAAAACTATGACTTATGCCTCTTTCATTAAATGCAAAGCAGCTTTGTTAAAGCAAATAGTTAGCATGTTGAAAAAATCAAAAATTTTTTCTACATACAATAATTTATGCACCTGCAGTCATGATGTAATACATAACTGATCGAACAACCTAGTCCAATTGGCATTATGTACAAGGAAAAGGAACAATTTGGTCAGGTGGTTAATTGGTAAGTCACTTAAAACACACCTGGTAAGTCCGAAATGACACATGTCGTTTGGACCAAGCAGGATTCTCACTCTCTTCCTTCTTACAAGGAACGTAATTTTTATCATACTTGATCACCCTCAGTTATCTTTTCGAGCTTTCTTTTTACTTTTCTTTTGAGGTTTGGCTTCTGTCCAGACATCTAAAATATATTTAGAAACATTTTTAACGGACTCTCGAGATGCATAAATTTGTAAAATAACTGCGATGTATAAAAATACGAATATAGAATTATTATGTAGCGAACAAAATTACCTCCCAGTTCATCGAACACTGGACCGGTCTTTTCTTGTGTTTGTATAATTTTAGGACTTTTTTCTTCTGAATTATCTGACTCTTTTTCTATATTGTCATCTTTTTTTTTTATTCTTTGTTCCTGAAGTTTATTATCTACTTTTGGCGTAAGTGGAGTTACTACAAGAGTATTTTCATTTTCAGAAACTTTCTTAACTTTCTTTGATTTTCCACTCTTTTTTTCTTCTTTTTCGACTTTTTCATTCTTAAATATAAAAAGCAACACATTAATTATTATAATGTTAAAGACGGTCAAACATTAAAAACATTAAAATACTTTAAAAATACCTTAGCTAATTCCTCCTTTTGCTGTTCTTTTTCTTTAGCTATTTCTTCATTGGAAATAGGTGTAAGTATCACATCTTTTTTCTCTTTGTCTTTCAATTCTTTATTTTCTGTTTCTTTGATAACTTTATCTTTAATCTCTGCCTTTTCTGAAACTTTTTGTTTCGTAACTTCTTCATTAATTAAATCAGCTTTCTTGGTATTCTTTTTGTTCTTTTTTGAAGGCGATTCTTCCTCTTTCTTCTTATTCTTTTTATCTTTCCGTGAGTAAGCTTGTTCCCAATCTCCTATATTTTAAATATAAAATTAATGCTTATCTAGGATAGCATTTTTTAGAAACTCTTAAAAAATACTCTCAGTAAAATCATACCTTCATCAAAGTCGACTGGTTTCTCTTGGAATAAATTCTTCAAGTTCTTCTTGTTTTTCACTTGTTCAACTTTGTTTTCTTTACCAACTTTTATTACAACTTGATCTTTATCCTTCTTTGCTACCAGAATTTTATTATCCTCTTGCTTTCGTTCTTTCAACTTTCCTTCAACATCATCTGGCTTGGATACAGCTTTCTTTGAAGCATCTGTTTTGGTTGATACTATTTTCTTAATGGGGCTGGCCTTTTCAGTTGTAACCTGGCCATTAGCAGATCTCTGTAGTACACATAAATTGTTTCAATGAAACCTTAGAATGACCATATTTTTTTCAAATTTCTTATTTTTTCATAATTCGTACACAGACAAAAGACAAAATTATGTTAATTAAAATAACTACGTTGGTATTACGAAAATTTTGAAACTTTAATAAATAAAAAGAATGTGAAAAAGGGGTAAAATGTATTGACTCAGCATTATTAAATTTCATTTTATCCGTTGGGAAGAACAATAGGGAGTAACTTTTTTTAACCAGTGATGCCAGCTGATTATCAACCATGTGGTCGTGTATAAATACTCGCGACAAATAAGCAACCATATGGAGGGTGAACGATACAGAGACTGTTGTATTTGCACTGTCAGTTGATTCGAAAAGAAGAATGAGCTGTACAATTTGAATCTGTTATGCTAACCTTTTCTTTGATCTTGCTACGTTTCTTGTTGGCAAATTTCCGGTCCACGTCGGAGCTTACCGAAAGCTGAGCAAAAGGTGGTTGTTCGGCCTTCTTGAAACCAAAAACGAAGACGAGGATTGCACATACGAGCACGATACCCACGGGTAATGCATATTGCGAGTGCTGAAGTAGCAAGCTGACGTCCATGGCAATACAAAGGACGTGTCAACGTGTGCGAGACCGACGGAAATGAGGGACGGCAATAGAGTGACGGCGACAGCACATACGCGGTTACAACTCGACGGTGATCGGTAAACCGAACGTTTAACGCACACGATACAGATTAAACAACTCAAAACATAGCACTCTAGTGGTAGGTCTTCGAATTACTAGATGCCAGGCGGGCGCCGATCTCCGCTGACGCGGCTGTGACACGCCACTAAGTAACTCAAGCGATGTCTTATTTTGCACATTCACGGAAGTTTTTGTATAAATCAACGTATTTAAGAACGTCGATACTACGAAATATTATAAAATTGACGATTACAATTTATCAATGATGAAAACATAATTTATCATACAGATCTTTTATTCTTCTGTACAGAGAGTATTGAATTTAAGCACTTCGCCGCATCGATCGTAAGATCCACGTTACATGTGATTAAAGTTTTCGTAAATGTAAATGAACTACAGCAAGCTCTATCTTGTTTCTAACAAGATATCGTAACGCATCATAATGTAAAATTATTAGAAAATATAAAAGATCTTTGTTTATTGTAATTAGCATTAATTATAAATAATACAATACGTAACATCAAATGAAGAATGCTTTTGTTAACTTTTTGATACTTTAGCGAATTGTACAACCATTGGCTTATCTTTCAAAATGAAACCATTTGTCTCATCGAGGGCTAACTGTGCTTTCTCCGTATTCTGCAATGTGATAAATGCTTGACCCTTCATTCTACCCTCTTGCATTAGTCTCACATCGTACCTAAAATGAAATAAATTATTATTAAATAATCGCAGAACAATTAGGTTGCTTGTTAATTGAGGAGCTTACTCAAATTCTGTTTTTAATTCAGGTACTAGATATTTTCGATAGATAAAATGGAGATCGTTCTCTTCGACTTGTTTTGCAAGATTTTTTATGTACAAACGATTTGATGGTTTTCCCGGGTGATAATTTTTAAAAACAGGAAGCAATCTTTGATCTATAATATAATGTACAAAAGATTTAACATGTTCTTAATAAAATATAATGTTTTATTCGAGATATAATAATCTTTACCATTAGCTGAAATTCTGTTATTTGTTAATTCACTAGATGTAATAACTTTTTGCTCAACAGTCTCAGTATTTTCATTGTTTTCAACAGTATCAAGACTTTTAGAAAGTGGAAACATTATTCCAAAACCACCATCTGTAGCATTTACAGAATCAGTATTTTCTTCTTTATTCGAAACATCTAAGAGTTTATTCACTATTTTCAGTTCGATTTTAAGATTTTTTGTTTCACCGCGTTGTACTGGCTCAAACATATCTGCTGGTTTTACAACTTTTTGTGTAGGATTTGAAGGTGGTACATGTTTATTTGGATTAATAAACTTGGGAATTTTTAAACGTTTTGTATGTTGTAGACATTTTCTTTTTACAGGTATAATTTCCACAGATTTTGCATTATCTTCCTCATTTGACTCTATTTCTGATTCTTCTTCTTCTGTTTCTTCATTGCAAACATCTATTAACAGTTGTATATTAAATATATGCAAAATTTAAAAACAAAAGTGAAGGAAAAGATATAATTTAATTACCTATGCCTCCTTTGGCATATAATCTGTCTCTAATAAAAATATCATTATATTTTTCTATATCATAAACTTCTTTAAGTGCTGGAAATTCTGCTTCCAACTCTTCAAAAGGAGGAGGTAAATTCATTCTATTCATCAAGTGTAAAACCTACATAAACATAAGACATTTAAGTAAAGTGTAAAACCTACATAAACATAAGACATTTAAGTAAAGAGAATTAAAATATAATTTATTTACTTCTATTTACCTGAGTGTAAAAAGCTGGTTCTTTTAATAATTGTATGGCTATTCTTATTAAAGTGCCTCTTGTTGGTGGTGAATATTCATATTGTATATTTGGTGGAGGTGGTTGAGTGAAAGCCTGATTCATAGACCAACTGTTTAGTTTTTGTAAAAATGCTTGAAAATTGGATCTGTTCGTAGATTCTTTTTTATTATCTTCCTTTGTCAGTTTGTCATTATCAAGATCATTTTCTGTTTTTTCTATTGATACAGGCTTTTTGGCAAATTCAACTGTTAAATATTGCCCTCTGACATTTAATTGATGTAAACGTAACAATGCTTGCAAAGCTATTTCTTGGGATTGGAATTTTGCAAAAGTCATGGTGTACTTTTTAGAAAGCCTCAATGTTCGTGTTTTAATAGCACCATATTTTTTAAATAATTCATTACGTCGTTCATCAGAAAGTTCTGGTGGTAAATGAAGAATCCTAAGTGTATCTGAGACCTAAAAAAATATTTCATTAATATAGTATTTAATGTTCATTAATACATTTAAGAATGTATTTCTAAATTTCACATAACGTTTGAAAAATAAAATAGAAATCAAAAATACAAATAAATAGCAGGTTATGATAGTTTGAGTACTAATAATATAAGTTATAATATGAACTTAATAATATTTTCATTTTTATCTATAATTTCTTAATTGTATGTATCTAATAGTATTAAATTACATGCGTTATTTCAGATGTCATTTTAAATTTTTAAAAATGTAAAATATCATTAAACTATGTTTACAATTGTACGTAAAGATGAAGTTAAGAACTCTAGCGTCATCTTCGTCAGAAACGCGGTACATTCAATTCTGATAATTCTACTTTCTCTTACTTAATAATTTTTGGTTATTTTTATTTAAAGTTTAATCCATTTTTATTGTTTCCATAAGAACGTGATAAAGATTTACAATAACAAAATTAGTTCATTATTTATATAGTATACTATAAATTATATTTATCTACTAAATTAGGCACGTAAGTTCCTTAAATCTTACAAGTTTTATAAAAAGATTTATATTTTTATTCATTTTGTACTTGACATTTTTTCTAATTGTATAATATTCCATTCTATCATACTTTTTACATTTTCTATTATATTTTTTTTGTTTTAATTTGTTCGTTTCCTATGTATGTATTACTACGCGAATGCTGCCATGGAAACAGTTTATACGGAACTACTTTCGGAAGTTCACTTGTCAATTTGATCCGCCGGATTTACCGGCAAGTTTAAAGATAACGATTATATTTTATTCACAGTACATTATTTGCATTTTTGTCGTCAAGAGAATTTCATAAGTTGTATTAAGCTTGATATAACTTTTTAGATAGCATTATTAACTGTTCCTAATATTCACGTCTACTAAATTATCGATTGGCGTTCGCGAAAGTGACCGCAAAGCAGAATAATCTGTTGCTCGTTGTATTTAAAGATATCTCAATTTCCAAATGTAAGTACGACCTGACAACCAAATTTAAAGTTACATAATAAATATTTGTATCGAAATTTACATACGTGTAATTCAGGATATAGACATTTAATTATTTATTTTATCATAGTTGCCAAGTATGTACTACGTAGCGCCGAAATGTATTGCGGACAATGATAATCAATAATCAAAATTTAAAAATTAAAAAATAATTGTATATTTTAATATATTGTATATTTCTACATATGCGTTTATATTATCATACATTTATAATAAATAATCTTGTAAAGTACATTAAAATAATAAAATAATTCTTATTCTCTCGTTACTCTCGTAAGTAACTTTATTGAAAAAGTACTTCATTTTTGCATAAAAAAAATATATTACGGAATATATAATCTTTAAATAAACAAACGGGTTATTAAAAAATTCAAGATCATATTATAATAAATATTAAATCTGTATAGAATTAAAATAATACAGTAATTGATGATAAATTATATTCTACAAATATAACGATAAAATACTGAATAAAAATTAAAATAGATTATATTACATGATGTATTATATATATATATATTTATATATGTATTATATATATATTTAGGTTTAATCGAGACAGAGATCACAGTAGAGGCCATAGAGGTGGTGGTGGCAGAGGTAGCAATAGAGGAGGCAGTGATAATATTCGTGGAAGTAGTATTAATAGATTTAATGTACGTGGTAGAGGTACTATCAGTAATATCAGAGGTATTATAAAAAACAAACAACCTGGAGGAGCCCTTAGAAAAATCAACTGGGATGTAAGATCTTTAGAACCTTTGCACAAAGATTTCTATATTGAACATCCTGCAGTGAGAAATAGGTAAAGAGTTTTTGTTCTTTTTTTATTTTATTTTTTTTAAATTAAAATAGGAATTTTAATCCAATATTTTATGTCAGATCAAAAGAAGAAGTATGTCAGTTCAGAGAAAATGCAGAAATAACTATAAAAGGAGATAATATACCTAATCCTATTCAATATTTTGAAGAGGGAAATTTCCCACCTTATGTGTTGGATGAAATACGTAAACAGGGATACTCTCAACCTACAGCAATTCAAGCACAAGGATGGCCTATTGCACTTAGTGGCAGAGATTTAGTTGCCATTGCTCAAACTGGCTCTGGAAAAACACTAGGAGTGAGCCAAATTAGAGATTAGACATTAATTTTTAACTTGTAGAAATGTAAAGACGTTTTTTTTATTAGAAGCAAAAATATGACATATACAAAGCTAAGTTTTAATAGGTTTATATGAATTGATAATTTCCAAAATATTTTTATTTCAGTATGTCTTACCAGCAATTGTGCATATTATACATCAACCACGTCTTGTTAATGGAGATGGTCCAATTGCTTTAATCTTAGCTCCTACAAGAGAATTAGCTCAACAAATTCAGGAAGTAGCTAATTGTTTTGGAGAAGCTGCAGGTGTAAGAAATACTTGTATTTTTGGTGGTGCACCAAAAGGTCCACAGGCACATGATTTAGAAAGAGGTGTTGAAATATGTATTGCTACACCAGGTAGACTTATTGATTTCTTGGAAAGAGGGACTACAAATTTACGCAGGTATAACTATGATTTTTAAACAAAGTATATGTATATAATATTGAGTAACATATATGATAATGATTTTTAGATGCACGTATTTAGTATTAGATGAAGCTGATAGAATGTTAGATATGGGTTTTGAACCTCAAATAAGAAAAATAATTGAACAAATCCGACCTGATAGACAGGTTTTGATGTGGTCAGCTACTTGGCCTAAAGAAGTTAGAGCACTAGCTGAAGACTTTTTGACTGATTATATGCATCTTAATATTGGTTCCCTGACTTTATCAGCCAATCATAACATTATTCAAATTGTGGATGTTTGCCAGGAATTTGAAAAAGATGTAAAATTATATAGACTACTTCAAGAAATTGGAAATGAAAAAGAAAATAAAACAATCATTTTTGTTGAAACAAAACGAAAAGTAGATGATATTACGAGAAATATCAGGCGAGATGGATGGCAGGCATTGAGTATTCATGGTGATAAAAATCAACAAGAAAGAGATCATGTGTTACAAGAATTTAAAAGTGGAAGAGCTCCTATTTTAGTTGCAACAGATGTAGCCGCTAGAGGCTTAGGTATGTGTTACTTTTAATTTAAAATGCTTAGATTATTTACACATTCAAGAATCGGGTAAATATGGGAATTGGCAACACTTATTGGATTAGCCAGTGATGCGTTATTAATAAGACCAGTGGACAGCTATGTATGTAGCAATGTGTGATTTATTGAAAATTTTTTGTATAGCAGAGCCCTGACAATAGACAAATTAAACTTTATTTTAACTTTATTTTTATACTTTATGATATTACAAGTTTTAAACAGGTTTGTATTTTTTTATCAATAAAATATGTAAGATTACTTATGTGTATAAACATTTAAATAAACATATTTTTTCAATAATAAAATTTATATAAAGGGTTCTAAAGAAATGCACACAAGCTACCACTAAGACTGTCTGCTTTTCTTTTTCAGAGGCATAGAGTACCCTAAGTGAACGCGGTGTACTGCCAGTATTGGGCAGACACAGTGAATGTTTTATTTTTCTTTGCTTGTATTATATCGATAATTATTAAAATATTAAAAATATACGCAGGCATTTTAAAAATTTTTATATACCATCGTATATTTTTACAAATATAATTTTAACACAAAATTAAAAAATTTAATACTGATTTTATTTTTATGATATAGTACTAATGATTATTTTAAAAACATTCATAATAAAATAATTATGAAATAATCATAAATTTAAAAACCATTCTGTTTTATTGTGTATAGTACATATTAAGTTTATTTTTGTCATTTTGTTTTTATCTATTAATTTGCTCTTATATGTCAAACAATTCTTAAGTGTTTTCTAGTGCCTCTAATTGTTATTTAGAATTTAAAAAGGTTAATGCATTCAGGCTTAAACCCTAAAATGCTGCCTTTATCCCAAAACCAGACACCACCGCTGTGTCTGTCTAATCTCTAGGCCATCATACATTATGAAACCAACTGAATAGCTCTACATTTAAAAATAAATGGGGCTGTTTTTGCTGATTTTGAAATGGAATTTCCAACCAAAAGGTGGGTGGTTTTCAAACCTGACTTACAGACAATATTTAAGTGAAGATTAGGGGATATTGTTTCATTTCAATAAAAATTAAAAAATAAAAACATTAAAAAATTTTGATATATGCTAACTTAATATATTCAAAACATTATATATTTAATCTTAAGCATTCTATGTAATTATTTTTGCAAGTTTGAAGATCATTCTGTGAACTTGACACACAACAAATGGGGTGATGGTTATTATAAACAATACACATATAATTATAAATATTGGGAAAATTCTTATGTTTTTTATATATTCTTTTCACAGATGTGGATGATGTTAAATATGTAATAAACTTTGATTATCCATCATCATCAGAAGATTACATACATAGAATTGGTCGTACTGGAAGAAGAAGACAAACTGGCACTGCTTATGCATTCTTTACAAGTCATAACATGAAACATGCAGGAGATTTAATAGAAGTATTAAGAGAAGCAGGACAAAATATAAATCCACGACTTACTGAAATGGCAGAATTAGCTAAATCAGGAAGTTATGGAAGTAGAAGTATGTTTATAATTTTTTATAATAACATTTAAATATTATTTAAAACAGAATGGTTTTTCATAATTCATTCATTTTTCTTTTTGTAAAAGGTGGCAAACGTTTTATGAGCAATGATAGAAGTAATGGTAGACGAGGTAACATTGATACTAGAGGAAGAGGTGGTTCTGTAAGAGGAAGAGGTGGTATAAGTAGTCGTGGTGGAAATTCTTACCAATCTACATCAAATAGTTACTCAAGTTCCGACTATAATAGCTATAGCAATATGAAGCAAAATAATTCAACTAATCAGAATACAGGATATGGATATACACAAAGAACTTATGGGCAAAGCAATTTAGCACAGAGTTATGGAGGTGGAGATAATTATGGAAGTACTTATCAGTATAGAGGAACAACATATTAAATATACATTTACCATATTGAAAAAGAAAATTTTACTATTAAAACTATGTTAATAACAACATACTTAGTTAAATTTGTGTTAATCTTAAGGTAATATAAAATAAAAAAATACACAAAATATGAAACAGAACCAAAAAAAATATCGTGTATTTTATATACATGATAAAGAAAAAAAAAAATAAAAAAAGATAGTTAGTAATGATAAAAATAAAATCTGTTAAATATGTATGTATTATTTTAAAAGTTAAAAAACTAGATTTCACTATATAAAATGTTTTAAAAACAATGAAAATTGATAAATGTATTGTTTTCATGATATAATTTGTTAAAATAAGAAATATTTTAATTAAAAAAACTTTGTAAAAAAATATTTGGACGAAATAGCATATTATATTGTGTTATATATATCATATTTTTATGATATTCATTAGATATAATTATATATAACTTAATGTTCTTCGCAAATATATACGTTTGTTGTAATGAAATTTTGTTAAATTTCGATATATCTTATATTTATTATGATCGTTCTAGATGTATAAAATAAATTAGGTTTATTTTTTTTTACATTTATTCCACTCTGTGAATACATCACAAATTTGTATTAAAGAATTGTAATTAAATGTATTTCGTTACATTTTTATATTACGTTATATTTTGTTACAAGTATGTGTATATTACACAAATTATATTAATAAAATTATTCTCTCTAACAAAATCAGTTAAAATATTTTTACCTACAAGTTAAAAATTATAAGAATGAAACATATTAATAAACTAGTTATTAATACAGTACTTTATTTTAGTGTATTTTCTCCTTGCTCAATACTATCATTTCCGGCATCATGCATATTAAATTTTATAAAATATTTATACTTAATATTTAGAATCTAATAGTTAAAAAATAAATAAATAAAATTTTTTTATACGATAAAAGTATGTTTATATGATAAAAATACTAGTATATATGAAATGGTGAAACTGCAAGTAAATTGGAACTATTTTCTGCTAAATTCGACGCCATGATATTTGTTTCACAGATCCTCTTTGAATCGTGTAACGAGTAGAACGGTAATCGTACGTACTTTTCGTTGATTCTGGAAAGTTGTACGTGTTTCATTTAAGAAAGATCATTGTTTTTTTAAACCTAAAGCAGATAGATATCTTTATGAAAATGTAAGTTATATGAAATCTTTATTAATAGTGTGTAAAAATATTAATTTTCTGAAAATCTTTTATTGACATTTGATGTCTATGATTGACTACTCTACTCCATATTGTTCTTATGCATGTATATTGACGAAATTTTAGCATTTATATCTAATGATTTACAAATTTATTCGTAAAAAATTAGTTATTCGTTCAAGAAATTTTTGATATTAACAATTTTCTTTTATAAATATAAAATATGTATTTATTTTATAATTACAACTTTATGGATTCGTTGCACGTGCATTATAAAAATTTAATTTACTTTATACAATTAAAACATATATATATATATGTATTTATATTATATATTATATATAATATATAAAATATAAAAAGTACGTTGGAAAATAAAACATTTTCTTTGTAATATGTCTTTTAACTGATCGCATAATTTTACATATTATATATATGCACATATTATATATATGTATTTACATTTAGTTGATATCTAAAAATTATTTTGTAAAAGGGCATACCGTGATCGTGAACGTAATGATAGGAGAGGAGGAGCACGTGGAGGTGGTCGTTTCAATGGCCGAGATGGAAGTGGAGGAGGTGGAAGATTTGGTAGTAATTCTAGTAGAGATAGTAGTTTTGGAAACAATAATTTTAAAAACCGTCAACCTGGAGAAAGACTTCGAAAGCCAAGATGGGATATGAGTGCATTACTGCCATTTAGAAAAGATTTCTATCAGCCTCATCCTAATGTTACAACTAGAAATTCACATGTAGTTGAGTCTTACCGTTCAGACAAAGAAATCACTGTTAAAGGAGCAAATGTACCAGGGCCAAATATATTTTTCGAAGAAGGTGGATTTCCGGAATATGTTTTGAATGAAATCCATAGACAAGGTTTCGGAGAACCAACTGCAATTCAGGCACAAGGTTGGCCTATTGCTTTGTCTGGACGTGATATGGTTGGAATTGCTCAAACGGGATCTGGAAAAACATTAGCATATATTTTACCAGCAATTGTACATATAAATCATCAACCAAGATTAAATCGTAATGATGGGCCTATAGCTCTGATTTTAGCACCAACAAGAGAACTTGCACAGCAAATTCAACAAGTTGCATCAGATTTTGGTATCTCATCACAAGTAAGAAATACATGCATTTTTGGTGGAGCTCCAAAAGGTCCTCAAGCTCGTGATCTTGAGCGAGGTGTTGAAATTTGTATAGCAACACCAGGGCGTCTTATTGACTTCCTAGAACGTGGTACAACAAATTTACGTAGATGCACATATTTAGTACTTGATGAGGCAGATAGAATGCTTGATATGGGCTTTGAGCCACAAATTAGAAAAATTGTAGAACAAATCCGACCTGATAGACAAACTCTTATGTGGTCAGCAACTTGGCCAAAGGAAGTTCGTAATCTTGCAGAGGAATTTTTAACTGACTATATACAAATTAACATTGGCTCTCTGCAATTAGCTGCCAATCATAACATCCTTCAAATTGTTGATGTATGTGAAGAATTTGAGAAAGAGGGTAAACTTATGAAACTTTTAGAAGAAATATCAAATGAACCAGAAAATAAAACTATTATTTTCGTTGAGACTAAGAGGAAAGTAGATGATATAACACGTGCAATTAATAGGTATGGATGGCAAGCAATTGGCATCCATGGAGATAAAAGTCAACAAGAAAGAGATTATGTATTAAATCGTAAGTATTAACTAAAAGTTTTTATATATAAACATATTCTGCCCAATACTAAAGAATTTATTTCAGAGTTCCGGAATAGCAGATCTGCCATTCTAGTAGCTACAGATGTTGCAGCAAGAGGATTAGGTAAGAATCTGTTTACACAGTGGATATGATGTAAGGGTCAGGCTGCGATGGTTATTTCACATTTGTGAGAGTTGTATAATTGTGATGTGGCAACGGATAACGGCATGTGCCAGACTGATTGACATTAGTCCTTTCTTGGTGTGAATGGAAATTGTTTAAAAAATGCAGAAGTTCAAGAAGAGAACTATCAATTAATACAGTTGAATTAAGTTTCTACTTCATTTCGTTTAGGAAATTTTAATTGATTTCCATTAACTCATTATTCAGAGAATTTGATATATTATAAAATCGTGAAAAGAAAGTTAATGCTGTTATTCTCATCTTTTCAGCACAACAATACTGAAGGGATATTTTGTAATTTTAGTTTTATTGTAGGTGGATTTTGGCATACTTTTAATCTCTAATAATAATATTCTATAAATTGTTTTATTAATGAAATTTTTTAAAATTTTAATAACTAAATTTAATAATAATTTTAGACATACATGAGTTATATTCTGAAGAATGTGTATTTTCATGTGTACTCTATTATTATATTATCATTAATATTAATATTGGAATTAAAAGTAAGTTAAAATATTTCAGCGTTAAAATTAGATTAGATGAACAGGTAAGATGGTAGAAAATTCATGTCTTTAAATTTTGCTCTGATTGAAAAAAGTCTTGTCAGTCTGGTATTAACGTGCTGTTCTATGTGTTTTCAGAGGCACATGCGACGGAGTTTTATCAATGATAAGAACTCTGGAGAGCTTGCTTTGGAATATATAATTGAATGGGGCATGACTGCTGGTCTGTCCCCGCACAACAAGCTAACCTAACGCTGTGCCTCGGCTCACCGTGCCACTTGAAAAAACACACTCTCACTCTGTTGCGACGGTCCAAAGTATGGAAATCATAGAGTTAGGGTATATGACATACAAGGACTACTAGACAGGATAGATATTATACCATTTACATAGATTAGAAGGATAGGAAATAACATTACATTGTTTTGCATTGTTCGTAAAATTTTACTTTCCACTAAATTATAAAAGAAAGAAATTTATTATACATTCATAATCTGCATATATCTGATTAAAAATATGCATTAGTATAAAAAAAAATTTCTGAACTCTTAACATTGCAAAACAAATGTTGATGTTACTTGTACAATGGAATGCATGTGGGGTTGATCGGAGAATGCACATGGTGCTCATCCAATGTTCTAACCTCACGGAAACAAGGATCAAATTTTGAAAGACCAGCACAGATCCATACTTTGGTGCAGGAGAGAAGGGTGTGAAGTTACTAAGAGTAAATATACAGCTCACTAACGCATAAAGTGAGAATTCCATGACAACCATCTGAGCTTTGATTCCTCTACATTTCCAAAAATGTATTTACGTTTCCAGCTTTTGGCAACTACAGGTAAATAATATAAAAATTTGCTCTTTGTGGTCAATTCATTTATATTATTCATGTGAAAATTATAAGTGGAATTAAGAGTTAATAATGAATAATATTTTATATACGTATATAAATATTTATAATGTATAATGGTTTGTTTCATACAGTTTTCTACAAAAAGGTATCATTTAATTCCATTTATATTACACATAATATGATGTCACTAATGCTTTAATTAATTCGCTTTATAAGTTATTTGAACCACAAAGACACAAGTAATTTTCATTTCCTATGATTATAATTTTTAATGTTATATAGATGTGGAAGATGTTAAGTTTGTCATAAATTTGGATTACCCGTCCAATTCTGAAGACTATGTACACCGCATTGGTCGTACAGGACGTTCACAGAGAACGGGAACCGCATATGCATTTTTCACTCCTAATAATGCACACAAGGCTAGTGACTTAATTCAAGTTTTAGAAGAAGCAAAACAAGTTGTAAATCCCAAATTGTATGAATTATCAAGAAATCCAGGCATCTATAAAAGTATGTATATCTATGTATACATATTCTATTCTGAATCAATAAAACTATTTTTGCATTTAATATTACTATGTTTTATGTTATCTATTTAGGAGGCCGTTATGGAGGACGTAGCGGCGGCGGTGGTGGACGTGGTTCTGGAGGCCGTGGTGGTAATTCCCGTGGTTTACGAGGTGGTCGTGACGGAGATAGGAGTGGCAGATTTGATCGTTCTAATAACAGTGGAGGAGACCGAGGAAATAAATGGAATGGCAATAATAGCAGTATGAGCTCAAATAAAAATTGTAGGACTTTTTAGCTTTTTTCTACTTTACTTTCTTATGTACATTATTGAATAGTTTATATTTATTTATATGGAAGGCATGGGTGGAGGTAACTACAATAGCAAAGCATTTTCTCAGAACACTTATGGAGGAGGTTCCGGTGGAGGTTCCAGTGGTTACAGTCAAAATGGTGGATATGGAGGAAGTGGAGGCGGAGGTGGAGGTAGCAGTAATTATAGACAACAAAATGGCTATTAATTTAAAAAGAAGTTTGAAAGAAAATTTTCTGTAATATAGTAAAAAAATGAAACGAACGAATGCTTTCTATGTAACGTGCTTTTCACTATGACTAGATATGATGACTAGACTAAAGTGCACGTAATATTACGATCGATTAAAACAATATGACTAAATGTTTATTAGTAAGCTTAGATTATAATAATTCACATATATATATACATATATAACCATTCTCTTTTTTAAAGAAAGAAAAAAAAGTAAAAAATATACATGTAAGTGTAGTAGTAGAAAGAAAATTATTAATAATTTTAATTCTTGTAAAATGATTGATTCTTGCAAATACGATTATATTTTTTTCATAAAATTTAACGTCTAATTATTTAAAACTATCAGTGAACTTAACGGATCAAACAGAAATAAAAATAAAGGCTTATAAAATCTGATATAAGATAAAAGTTTAAGAAACATAGTAAGATAACAAAGTTTAAGAAACATATAATAAGAAACGAAAAATATTGATTTTGGAAACAGATGTCTAGGTAACTGAAATTATTACCTAGTTTCAGCTATAGAAATGTGATTATAGAAATATTGGTGTAAGTCGTAAATGCATGAATCATGTGTATTATTTCGAAGGTACAATGCATTGAATTGTATTAAATTTAAGAAGATATAAAATCCCATGCATTGTAGTGTTAGAAATTTAATAAAATAATATAAGCATAAAATATCTAAACAATTTACATCAATTTTTATTATTACAGTTTATTTTCATTATTCGTAAAGTAAAATATATCTAATATTAAATTTTTGATTGGCTATAAAAATACTATATTATCTAATCGTTATATTATTTCGAAACATTATTATAATCAATTTACTCTGTCTACAGATTTTGTTAAAAAAATCTTATTTATCAAAATGATATTTAATTATGCAATAATTAAAATTTTTTTTAATTTTTTTTTATCATTAAAATAATATAATAATGTCTATGAGTAATCAATACTACACATGTTATGAAATGTCATTTTTATTATTGGCTAAAGCATTTATCAAAAATTATATGATCAGGTCAATTTATTGATTCATTCCGACGCAATGTCATATAGTTATACCTTTGCGATATTATTAGAGTTACAACTGCCGATTATGTGTGCCTGTCTGATTGCTTTTGCGATTTTAAAGTTTACGTCATAAAATCATTAGTTATTCTTTATAGTATTCAATATGTATTTAAGTATTCTATGATGTTGCGTAAATATATTTGATGTTAGCTGAATAAATTGAAGAATCATTAGATCAGAATTTTAGAAACAAGATATTCATGTTATATTAACATAGTAAATTTTGTAGATCTGAAATTATCGTAATATTTTTATATTGTATAATATTGTTTAATAAATAAGTATTCCACTTTAATTGTAATAATATTATGTTGTCATGTTATTACTCCGTATTTAATGTTTCTCTATTCACGACATTAAATTTGTACAACTGAAAAAAATATGTTATTTTTTCAATTCATGTAATTTATAAAATTTACACTTGACGAATATGGGTAAATTTTTTCACAAAATTAAGAAGTATTTAAAAATCCATAAATGCAGTAAGTTATTTGGGCCCACAACATTTAATTCTAAATCACTTTATATATTTAATATATGAATATCATTTTAAATTTTACACTCGATCTTTTTACTTTCAAATATTTCGCATTGTTAAATATAGTATTATATCCAATATAGTGAACGTATGTTCGGAATCAAATGTCTGTTGACGAAAAAGGTAAGGCCAGATGTTATTTCTCTATTTGCTTATTAAGTATGTACATATGTTGGAAGTGAGAATGAAATGGAGAAAAAGATTCGATTATCGTTTGCAATATATTATCCTAACAACTCTAAATAACTGTGCCTTAATCGTATATAATCATTTTCATTGGAAAAATAAAAATTTTGATATATTAATCGAAATATGTGTATATATATATATCTTCTCTTCAATGTTCTGTGTCATTACTTGAATAATATTGTATGTAATGACGAAGGAAGTGGGGATGTAGTTCATGAAAAATGTATGACGCGTGACGCGTGAGTCGGCGACACGCGCAGTGCGCTCTAAGATTTGGTGTGGTGTATTTCGTAGTTATCGGTTATTATTTAAAAAAAAAAAACAGTTCCTTTTTTTTGTATTAAAAATATAAATCTCATTCATTATGACAGAAAATGGCAAAGAAGTAAGAGTGTGGTGTGATGGATGGTAGGTTCTCATCTTATTTTGTATTTATTTTAAATTTCCCGTGCTTACCGTCCGAAATTGAGATATGACCATGATTTTTTGATAATAGGATGCTGATCATTAAAGTTTTGATATGGACGACATGTATATATTGATATAAAATCACATATATAGCAAAAATTGCAGTGATAATTTTGTGTAATAAGATAATAAGTTAATATCTGTGATAATATAATATAATCTTTCTTTTTTTATATTTTTTTCATTTCTAATTTGCGTCCGATACATGAGAAAAGTTATAATTTTTGCATTGAACTTCAACGATGTGAATTTCATTATCAAGTAAATTCGTTCAAACTCCTTGCTGACGCAATTCGTTGTGTTATAAATACGTAAATATTTTTTTTTTAATAATTATTTTCTCAACACAGTTATGACATGGTACATTTTGGCCACGCGAATTCTTTACGTCAAGCGAAGGCATTAGGTGATTATCTAGTTGTGGGTATACATACAGATGAAGAAATTACCAAACATAAAGGGCCACCAGTATTTATGGAACAAGAGAGGTATAATTTTATTCAAGTAAAACAATTGAATTACTTTAAATTTATACCTGTTCTCTAATTCGATATATTTATGCCAGATACAAAATGGTCCGCGGTATCAAGTGGGTAGATGAGGTAGTTGAAGGAGCACCTTATGTTACGACTTTAGAAACATTAGATAAATACAATTGTGATTTTTGTGTTCATGGTGATGACATCACTATGACAGCAGATGGTATAGACACGTATCATTTGGTCAAAGCAGCAGGTCGTTACAGGTATAAAATAAATAATTATAAGATGATTTTATTAACAGTGATGTTAGTTAGGAATAAATGAAATAAACAAATAAACAAATTTGATTGTTACAGAGAAGTTCAAAGAACAGCTGGTGTATCAACAACTGATCTAGTAGGACGTATGCTTTTAATGACACGGCAACATTTTAAGCAAGGAGATAGTGAATATAGTGTTGATAGAGAACCTAGCAAAAGTATGGGACAAGACAGAACAGCTCGAAGTCCATGGACAGGTTGTTCACAATTTTTACCTACTACACAAAAAATAATTCAATTTAGTGATGGCAAAAGCCCACAGCCTGGGGATAAGGTAGTCTACGTAGCAGGGGCATTTGACCTTTTTCATGTTGGTCATTTAGATTTCTTAGAAGTTGCAAAGAAAGAAGGTGATTATCTTATAGTGGGACTTCATACAGACCCAGTAGTAAATCGATATAAATGTGGTAATCATCCAATTATGAATCTCCATGAAAGAGTACTCAGTGTACTGGCATGCAAGGTAATATGTAAAATATTATTTGAAATATTGAATTGAGCTTCAATATGTTTAAAATTTATTATTTAATTCATATATAGTATGTTAATGAAGTTGTAATTGGTGCTCCATATGAAGTTACTATAGATCTTATGGAACATTTTGATGTATCTATTGTTTGTCATGGTCAGACTCCTATCATGCCTTGTGAGGATGGTTTAGACCCATATGCTGAACCTAAAAGACAAAATAAATTTAAATTATTAGATAGTGGTAATGACATGACAACAGAAAAAATTGTTGAACGCATAATTCTCCATAGGTATGTTATTTTTATATGCTATAAATGCATGCATGATCGAAAATAATTTATCAATTATAATTTTAAACTTGGAATTAAAGTTATATATTATGTACATAAATTTTATATCATAATATATTATTTTAAGGTAAAAGATTACAATTACAAATATGAATTTAATAAATATTTGAAATTATTGCATATCATTTAATTAAAACATATGAAAATGTTCTTGTTTCATATTTCTTCTTTTATAATATAGTTGATATTATTCGAGATTATTGTTACAAAATAATTCTTAAAAAAAAAAAAAATGTACTGTATGCAGTATTTTGTTTTCTTAGGTCAAATGAATTATATATGATAATTAAGAACTTGAACAATCATTGATGTGTTGAATCTTGTCATCTTACATTTTATCACTCAATTTATAATAAACTTCTTTTCTTTTACTTTATTTTATAATTGTTTATCATTCGTCTATTCATGTGCTTTTGTAATGGGATATGCAATTTTATGCTAACATTTCATGAATTCATCTTGTATTTATACTTATGTGTAGTCTACTTTTTATAACAAATTTGCATATCCCAAGTTTTTAAGACAGATTTACCATGTTTTGATATAGTGCTTAATTGCAGGTTGGAGTTTGAAGATAGAAATTTAAAGAAAGAAAAAAAAGAACAAGCAGCTTATGAAGCTTTTATAAAGTCCCAGAAAAAAGAAAGGACTAAATAATTTACTCTATATACTCAGAGTGTGTGATAATTATATTTTATGAAATATATTTGTAAATATGATATCACACTAATGTTTGAATTATTTAATTCCATTTGGAAAATATCTGTGGTTTAAATATTTATGATTATACTGAACATTTAAAATACTAACATATAGAAATATTATTTTTAATTTCCAACAACTCAACGACAAAAAACAAACACAACGACAAAGGTATAGAAAAAAATTGTGAATATCTGTAAACAGAAATATTTTTAATTAAGAAGGTTTAGAGAAATTTATTTTATGTTACATGCTATCAAATTATGCACACATGTATGTATCTAATATTAAAATTTGGTACTAAGATATTACTAAAAGTTTTTGACTATTACAATATTAATATTATGTAAAAATATTTGAGAAGTTATATTTTATTCATATTTACAGAGATTTTATTATATTTAAAGCATTTAAAGCATTATTTATTTTTTGATAATATATTTTATTTTATTACTATAATTTTCGGGAAATTAAGCATTTAATTAAAGAATTTTATAATTAAAACGGAAACTTGTATATTTTTTATTTGTTATTTAATCATATATAATTTATAATTGGATTTTTTAAATATAGCACTTCAAGTGAAACTAGCAGATAAACTTATAAGTTTTATAATTACTTTTAAATTTACTTTTACATTAATTATTTTTTATCAAGATTTATAATATAGCTGGAATGTAATTTAACTTAATTATAATAATTTTGTACAACTATTATAAGAGAAGAGGTAATTATCTTCATAGTATGAAGTCACAATTTAGTGGAATTGCATCAAAATCGATTTATTTTTCTCTTTTGATATTTAATTGTGTTATATTTGTAAAAAATTATTATCCATACAAGAAATAATATCTGAAAATCATTATTGTCAAATACATGTATATTTAATTAATACGAATTAACAATACATTGTACAAGAAAAATGTACATTTATAATGTTAAAACTGTAAAATAAATTGTAAGTGCCACATTTTGTAACATAACATTAGATTATTTTTACTTGAAACTAAGATATTAACCAAAGACAGTTTTTGATCGTGATAAAAAATAGAAAATGTATTCTACGCTCTTAATGCTATGTATTATGTGTAAATCGAAATTTATTTGAACATAGAATTTTTCCCTATATGCTTTAAATAAAGTTGGTTGTCATAAATTTTCTTTATCTATATATGCGCAATTGCGCAGCATTATCGCATCCCGTACTATGTTTATAACCATGTAATAGAATAATGTGCTATCAAATATTGCGAAATGGAGCGATCAGTTTAATTTCTATCAATAATTTAGTATTCCTCGAAGCATGACATGCATAAATACATATGCATGTGGTAATGTTTTACTTCACAATAAATAACTATTATATGCCATTAGATTAACATAATAAATATTTTATAGTATGTATTTATCTACCTTTGTTCAACCAATCAAGAATTTTGTAGTTAAAATCTTTAAATGACAAAATTTCCTTTATAAACAATAAATAGTATACTGTATGTATGTACATTGAATCAAACTTATATAATCACTCCAAAAAATTAGATACATCATGTTCAATAATAATGGACACGAATAAATTATCCTATAGTTAACAAATTAATACAGTTTATCTAGAATTACTTATTATTAAAGATTACATATGCACTGTTTCAGGTCACGTAATAGCACTGCACGTTTAAGAAATTTGCATTAAGATAGTGAAGTAGATTTGCAAGTATTTAACGTGAGAAAATTTTTGTGCAATTTGTTGTATGAAACGTGCAAAGTGAATGATCAGTTCAGAAAGAACAATAGAGAAAAATTTAATACCTGCTAAAATTCATAAATTACATTTATCTCTTTGTGTTATAAATAACAGTCTATAATATATTCGTATCTTTGCAGTAATTCTATCAACAATATAAGTCTTATTAAATTTTACTTATTTTAACTTAGCATATATAAATATATTTTAATATAATTTAATTATTTTTGTATGATATGTTACTCATGTTCATACTATGAGTCATTTTGTTAATTTGGTTTGCCATTTCAGTTCACAAAGACTACTGTTTCGTTTTGATTGGACATAATAAAGTGTAATATTCACTATTGTACTGTAGACCGACCGGTGTAGCCTGGTGTTGGTTCAGAATATTTTCTAGCACGGTCTCGTACTAGTTCGTCGATTGATTTATTTTGTGGTATAGACGACGATAAATTATGAAGTCGTGTTGCTAGATAGCACATGATAAAAGCTGATAGAACTAAAAGTGCACCTAATCCGGTTGCAACGTACAGAAAATTACCACAACTGTTCTCAAGTCCAGCAGCGACTTTCTGATATAAATCTAAAAATGTACGTAATTAGTAAATTTTGAAGCTTCATATTTAAAAACTTGGAAATAGCAATTGTTATTTTAGCGATATAGCAAATTTAAAGAATGAAGAACTTACCATCAGGCATTATTACTGTGTATTCGATATTTTCCTTAAATTTTGTATAAGGTATCGAATCATTGTATTCTTTTATTAAACGATCAACTTTAGGAAAATATTCATTCATACTTTCTTCAATAGATCGTTTTCTCCTTCTTCCGTGCCCCGCCGGTTCAAAAAGATCGAGACAAAAATCCTATAAATAAGAGTTGTATTTTATCTTACTGTTCGAATAAATTAGGATTCAAAAACAAGGCTAATAAATAAATGCAAAATTTATGTAAAAAGATATCGAATCAATGGCTAGTTACATAAAAATATAATCTCTAAAATTAAATAATATCTATCATATGTATATTATTTTATTATTATTTTTATACTCCGCTTCCACAAAGAGCGTGAAAGTGATATCATTTGAGAAACAGGTTTATTAAAATGAAGAGATAAATTTTTTTTTGCGTCAGACACGGAATTACAAAGCCAAATAGATGAACAGCCAGTCATTCAGCCATCGACCGCAAGTTAGGCTAATAAAATTATGTCCTTACCGGTTGGCAATCTTGTGGTTCCATGCAAGCCTTGATCTGCGAGTGGATCCACAGCGTGGATCGTTCTCTCATGGAGCTAAGGAGAAAGGCTTCGAAATCGAGGAAAACTTCGTTTTTTCTCTCCCGATAACGGGCTGGTTGATGAGGAATTATTGACGCGAAATCTCGATTTCTACAGCCGTCCTTTACCAACACAACACTTCCTGGTGCGTGAGGCTGATCGGGATCAGGACTAACGGTCACTTCCAACAGTTTAATGTAACCCCATGCACTGTCTGCACTGATTCGAGCTCTTAACTGAAGCTTTGTACCGATGGGAACCGCTTGATCGACAGCCTGCGACCCTGATGCGTCTGATACATTGCCTGTAGCCTCGCGGTAAAGGGCTACCTCGTATTCCAGTCGTCCAGGAGTTTCTTCGACGACTCCCGATACTCTTGCTCCGTGTGGACTAAAAGAAATCAGAGTTTAACAAAATGTCTATACTGGATCTCTCAAATTTAAAATTGGTCTAACTTATGCTTTTGTTATATTATCATAATGCGTGAAAAAAATTGAAAAAAGTTCTAGCGTTTGAATGCTTTTCATTGTAAAAAATCTCAACACTATATCTGTTCCTTATAGGAATTGTTATTGTCAATGTGGAGAAAAAAACTTACAAGGTTCCAGCGAAACCGGCGGCTTTGTGTCGGAGTAACGTGGGCTCAGGTGGTCGACACATTAAGATCAGTTCTTGATCAGCTAACATTACAACGCCGGGAAATGCCGGAAACCATATTCGAAGGTGAATGAAACCCTAATGACAATCAAATTTTGTTCATCCTATCCTTTCTCGTATTATACAATTATTAAGACAATATTATTGTACAACTTGGTCATCGATAAGCTAAATTAAAAGGACCTTTGAAGAATTATAGATATCGCATTGATTATTTTTATCTGAGCGACGAAATTCGAAACGAATGGTAATCAGATTAATACGAAGGTACCTGTTAACCAACCGATTTGATTTATCGACGCGCAATGCGGAACGCGAATGCGATGATGAGCCAGCGCGAGAAGCAAAATCTCGATCGATGACTCACGTTTCTTTTCAGGATGCCGCATCTCGAGAAGTCAGTCACCTTCAGGAAGTAGTTATCTTCCTGAGGATCGTTGGGATCTGGCCTGATCTGGCAGTGAATGTCGGTGAGCGGATTGGCGGATCTGTCGTCGGCAAAGAGCGGCGCCCCTCTGAAGCCAACTGGTCTTTTGATCTTCGCTGTCAGGAGATCGGCGGCTGATCCTGCGCCGCTGCACTGAATGTCGGAGACTTCGTAATCCTGAGCAACGGTGGCGGCAACCTGAAACAATACCACCGCCATTCATCTACACAAGTTTGCTGAAGCGATATTCGTGACAATCTGGTACGTAATTTATTTCGTTATTTCATGTATGGCTTGTCTCTGTGTAATTATTTTAAAACGTATCTCAAATATTTCTGGACATTTGCAGTTTTTAATTGATCGACGTATATATCTAAGGATCACAAATGGGAATAGAAACAAACAGAAATTATGAATTTTAAAATTCAATCAAAAATATTTTTTCATTTGATTTTAGAATTATGTCTATGTATATTATTCTCTTCATTGTTTAAAAAATATTGATGACATTAAATATGCAGGTTAATAATAATTAAACTGATTAATGAGACATTTATTATTTGTTTTATTAATTTAAACATTTAAAATTATTTGTTGTACTATTTGTTTTATTTAATACACGAAAAAAATTTTTTGTTCCAGTTGGATAATGTATCATTGTTCAAAATGCGCGCGTATTTACGATTTTGATTTAGCGCCAATAAAACGCCGATTCTCGAACGTAAACGACATTTCTCACAATCGATCTATAATACTGTAATAACTGTCACTGTAAGGCGGGAAGCACAGCAAGAAGCATCGTCCAGAAATTGTCAGGTAAAAAATTACAATTAATAGCTTATTAAAATTGTTTACTACCTCGAGAACATCTGCCATTTAGAAAAGTTAATTGTTACATATTTAATTTCTTATTGGTATGTATGTACTCATTTCCATATGTAATGACTTGTGAAAGTACTTGAACATTTAGCATTGCAGAATTTATGCTCCAAGTCAATATAATTAATTGTCGTATATTGTCTTGCAAGTGTTCACAAGTTCACAATTCAGTTAATAATTAAACTGTATGGTTGTAATAGGTTATAACTTTAATAAATATTCTAAAGAATCATGTGTATCTATCAGTTGAATAAATTTTATTCGAACATACATAATGTATTATGTATTTATATATAAACGTACAAAGTGTATGCATGTTCATTATTGAAAACATTCGGTCGCCCCCCCCCCCTCACTAAATTACCGACGCGAATACCCCCTCCCCCCACTTCTGTTTCGCGAGGGTTAGTCCATTGTCAAAAATCGGTGAGTCAAGATGTGTCTCTCTGTGTCGTGACATTTATTAACTGCGAAGTGCTTTCATCGTTATTCTTTTACCATTTATATCTACTCTGCGGTTAACTTCGTTTAATTAACGTATGTTTTTACTCTATAATACAATATTATAACAAAATTATAGCTAAATCTTTTTTCTTTGCATTATCTTGCATCGTAATATGAGCTTTCCAAATGATATTTGATCTTGTCCATTGTTCTTTTTACATAATAATTTGAATGTTCTAGTTTCTTTTTTGTACAGATTACAAAGTAATCGTGTAAACTGATTGCGAGGAAAGCTCTTAAACATGAGTAGAAATTCAAGCGAAATTCAAATCGACGCCACGCTGATAAATCTGACCGATCTTTATGCAGGTATAGTAATATCTAATTTATTCTAATAAAGACAAATGTACTTGTACGTTTATTTACTCTTCCTATTGAATAATTAGTAACATTTATTTGATTGTCAATTAGTATATATTGTTAACAATAACGAATAAATTTGAACGGGTTCTGCGCATCGCGTCTTTTCCGTACTGCGCAGCTTCGGTTAACTGACAATAAAAGCGCGCCATATTTGATTAGTACGAAGTGCACATATTTGAATGACTAAGATATCTAAATATCTTATTATTGTAAAAATTTTTGAATGGAATTTTATTTTTCATTATTTCAAACTTTTTAAATATTTGACTGTACGTTTTCAAGAACAAGTTTACTATTTCACATGTTTTGTTTCAGATCTTTCACAATTTGTTTTTTCTTGTTCTCTGAGGAGGATGTAGCAGTGCTTTGAAATTAAGCATGTAAGAATCTATGTATATTGTATTTTAATTAATTTTATTCCTTGTATTGTAACTATTGCTAATTAAGAAATAAATCAGATCTACATTTTTACATTAGAGTTCCGATTCTTATAGTAATTGAAATTTATTAGAATTAAAATTTCATTTTTATAATCTTTGTATCTTCAAATTTGTTGAACAATTATCATTGTATTTTTCAGAATAAATTATAATAATTCATATTTTGTTAAAGGTTTCCCACATCCTGCTCTTCTTTCCGTGTTTCCTAGCAAGGATTTAGTGTTTTGAATGTAAGTAATTTTGTATTTTCTATTTCTTTTACTTTTGTTCTTCGTACATTGAGTTTTAATTAAAAAATAGAAC